GAAATAGCTATAGAGCATTTCAGGGTATTTAAAAAGGCCCTGATTTTGTGTGGATCCATTTTTCTTATAGGATGATTCATTACTGTGGTAAACAAAATCATTTGGTTCCTGGACAATAATGGTGCTTGTATTATATGGAAACAATAACAAGATTGGGCAGAAACATCTTTAATGCAAAGATGCACCCTCCAGATTGAAAGATGACTACATTTCCCAAAATTCCTTGCTATGCTAGTAGTTGCAATCCAAAACATCTGGAGGGCACCTGGTGACCTATACCTGCTTTAATATAAAACGGGTGTTGTGTGCCTGGCACAGTGCAGAGTCTACAAACTGGACATGTGCTTTGGTACAGTTGTAATCTCTCTCACGGGGCCCAGGAGCAGACAGAGTTCATAATGCTTTATTATATACACCTGTACCTCGTATATACCTGATGCATCCATCTGACTTACAAGCAATCAAAATAGTTGCCAACATGTTTCACATCTCCATCTACCCATTTATCTATTTGTCCATCTCTGTGCTCTCCTCATATCTATTTTCTGTTCTCTGCCCCGGCTCTCTGTCTGTCACCGTTCTTTAATTCTTTCATGTATCTATCATCTGTCACCATGAAAACCTGGAGTTTACACACTGGCCTCTACAAGTAACTTATATAGCACTGCTGGGGTCTGCGTGTGAATGAGCAGGAAGGATTCTCAATAAAAATAGATTAAACTGGCTGTTTTGTGAATGATTAAATGGCTGGGAGCAGACACAAGAAGCAATTGATGCAGCCTTTTTGAGTAGAATGGAGTTGCTTGGTACAATCATATTATTCATCTCAAAACAGGCTAATAATAATAATAAACTATATAACCACAATATCTGTCAGTTGTGATGATAGTTCCAGATTTCAGTTTTCATCGAAAGTGAACTTGGGAGCTCCTCAAAGAGACGGGCCAGGGGAGAATGTTAGGACAAGACTGAGCTGGATTGCTAAGGCATAGTTTAGCGAGGTTTGCAGATCATTCCTCTGGTGCGATTACCTATGCAAGTGCACCCAGTAAAATAGAATTTTTCCACCTGCACACCTCGGGGTGCAAGACCCCAAAATGTTCTGATTTGGGCTTGGATTGCAAAACCTTTATCCTTTGGACCAAAATCCATTTTGTAGAAGCAGTCCAGCACTGGATAGGACCAAAATACCTGGTTGGTCACTGGCAGCAGGGGCAGAGAAGTGTGATAGGCTCACATCTAACAGCCCTGGAGCATATAAACAACAGCATTCTGCAGTATCTTTGTTGATTCCACCAACCCCACCAAGAATATCTTTGACTAAAAGGCCCTGCCCTGCTTTTTTGACTTTTGAATTAGTCAAGGACAAGCTGTTGCAAACAGAACTGAAACACAGAATGCAGCTGCAGGCAGTGAAGACCATGTCAACAGTATGTACAAATGAAGTCTGGAAAATTAATTTGCATGAATACAGTGACAGAAGAAATATTTTCCTTTGGGAAATGTTGGAGGCTATAGACTTATTTTTATATGCAAAATATGCCATGCATCCACATTTCCCAAAATAAAGATTTAATAAGCCCAAAAGAAGAAAGCTGTGAAAAGTCCATTATTTCACATTTAAAATAACTCATGAATACCAAGCAAATAAATTGAAGAAAAGGTTTAATCTGAGATATACAAATATAAATATAGTAAAAATTCAAGGGGAGGACTGAATAAAATTATGGAATAATCAAGCAATCTGTATCTGTGCATTATAAAGATCAGTTCTAAATTAGTATTGTAATCCCTGAGTTCTACTGCATCAGTGATATTGTTTTATTTGTTCTCTTTTATTGCTTGTTTTCAAGACATTTTGCATTTCTGCAAGAGGCTTTTCTGCTCTACTTTTGGTTTTGCCGCATAACTGAGACCTGAATGCCACATAGGGATTGTTTGCTTTCCTGCTAGATGTTCTCTAGGTGGCACTGTGGTATTGTGGAATAGTACAAATACATAAAAGAAATTTGTCCCTTCTTTCCCTTTCACAATTAAATGTCCCTTTTCCTCCTGCTCTAAAAAATGGATTGCCAACTAGACACAAAAGTAAAAAAAGAAAACATTGTCTAAAGAACATCTAAACAACTGTGAGTAGGAAATGATGAAGCAGAGTTGGGAAGAGTTCCTGTTTGTGGACTGTATTTTTTACCTTATGTTCTCCCAACCAAAGTCAGGTGCCAAAGATATAAAGAATTCTGAGCCTAGGAATTTGTTTTGCATACCAGAACTGGATGGAGCTCACTCTCCTTCTGCAGACAAATCCATTCTTGGTTATTTCAAGCTTTGCTTCTTTCCAGAATCTAATGAAAATGGAGAGTAATGTTGTTGATGCTACAAAAAACTGGAAATAAATCCTTGCTTATCTACTGCTCAGAGAGATACTGGAAGATCCTCATATACCTTCTGGCCAACCCTAATATAAAGTACATCTTCAGTGTGTATTAGCTTCAGTCATCTGATACTTTCTAAGTATTTGATTTTATCTGTAAAGTTATTTCTCTTTACAGATGGAAATGGAATCCCTATATGATCCTATTTTATCAAGTGTGATAAATGTAGCATGGTAAATTAAGCACGTTTGAACCAATACACATGGTTTTTTCTGCATGCAGCGACCAGGCATGTCTACACTCATCATAGCTAACAAAACTACACACACAATTTTATTGTTGTGTTCACATGTGTTCAGATGAGGTCCTCTGTAATTTGTAACTCTTCCTCTTCCCCAACAAGTCTGTTTAAAAGAAAGGTGTGTGTGTGTGTGTGTGTGGGGGGGGAGGATTTTCTGCACAAAAGTTTATTGTCTTAGGAATCTTCATGGTGATTTATACCAGTCTGCATTTAGTGCTTAAAAATCATTAGCCTTTGCCCTTGCTGCTGCTCTGTGTGTTTAAGCAAGTTTTTGTACTTTTGTAGCCTGCCTTGGAAGGGCAGTGCACCCTGAAAAGCAGATTAAAAACTGACATTTTTCATCTGCTGGGGAATCTGTAAGTTACAGCATGTACTTCTCTCTAAAAACATGCATAGGATCACACCATTCCATGCATTAAATTACATTATGTTCCATGAAGAAAAGCTTCTTTTTTTTTTGCCATTCCTGAACTTACTGAATGTCAGCTAGATGGGGTGACTGGATCCTTGCAGACTGTGAGAGCGTAAAAAAACTACAAAAAACGGCCAGCAGTGCTAAAGCAATCGCTATCTCTTGGAGAAGCATAAGGTTCGAGGCCACCCACCACTGCGCTGCAAGCATTTCACGCCCTGCTCTGCCAGCTTGATGGGTTTTGTTGGAGAGCCAGGAAGAAAGGTGTCAATGTAGATGCTTGCCTTGATGTCAGACAAAGACTTTCTTATTTTTCCGTCCCTTTTAGTATCTTGGGTACAGTGCTGTTATTGTGGTGTGTTGCTTTTTCATTTATCTGCTGGGTTTTGGTGCTGCTTTAGTTTGTTGCATATTTTATTCTGTATTATACTTTATTTTAAGCTGCCCTTGCAATTGGAGGGTTGAAAGTCCTGAGCACAAATACAGTAAATAAAAGTCAAACCATAGATAATCAATACTTTATATATGCAGAGACTACATACCTTTAATACCAGATTCCAGGGACAAACAGCGGGGGGGGGGGGTCACTTTTAGATCCTGTTTTGGAAAAGCCCAGATCTATCTGTCTGATCACTATTGGAAACAGAACGATGGTTTAAATAGACCTTGTTTTGTTCCAGCAAGGCAATCTGAATGTTCTTAAGTTTTAAGTCCTTTGTAGATGACCTTATATGAATCTCAGTAGTCTACAGTGTGAGAAAGGATCAAGTCATAAATGTTTTTGTCTCATAAATAATTTAGCAATGTGAATTGATTCCGCTAAAAATCAATATATAAATAATTACGGTATCTCAGCTTCATTTCCCCCCCTTTCAATCGGCACAACAAAGCTCCAGTAGGCAGGAAGGACATGGGTAATTCTTTAAGAAAGGATTAAAAGAAAACAGTAAAGGATAAAGATGATGAATGGGTTAATGAATGGAGAATCTTTTACTGGGCAGTTGTATTACTACCTCTATGAGCCATAATTGAAAGATTACTGCTCAAAAATCCAGGGAACAATGATTTTACAATCATAGGCCCATAAAATCATTGAGAATTGGCTGGTTAGATTAGGAAAAATGTGCATTGTGATTTACTGCTCTTCCCCCGCCCCTTTTGAAGTATCCTACAACGTGTGCTTTAAAGAAACGGAAGGATGTGCCTCCGCAGTTTTGAATTGTTTTTCGTACATATATAGTAACATTCCCTTAAAAAAAAGAATTGTATTGGGAATTTTAAAAAGTTGTGGATGAAACCCTCCCAACCAATAATTTGTTTTGTAAAGCTAGTACTGGATCGCAGAGAAGATTTTTTGGAGCAAGCTCCCTTTCCCTACTGCACGGCTCTACGGGGTTATCCAGCTAGCCGTTCTGGCGGTCACCCAGCAGGCGGGTGCAGAGGGGATCTTTGCACATGCTCAGAGGCAACTTGTCTTGAAAAGAATGACCTCACACATTCATGACAGGCCTAAAAAAGCCAAAAGAAAACAGAAGGGAACAAGTCCCGGGCTGATTCCGGCCTCCGCTGAAGCCCTTCCGCAAGTGGCGCCTGGAGGGGAAAGGAAGCAGCGCCGCCGCCGCCGCCGCCCGAGGCGGCCCTCGAGGCGCCCGCGCCGCCCGTCACGGCGGGTGGGGCTGGAGGAGGCCCCGCCAGGCCGCTTCCCCGCGCGGCCGGCCCTGCCCTCCGCCTGCCCCTCGGAGCCGCGCGTCACGCGGGGCTGGGCCTCCCCGGCTGGCGGCGGCGGCGGCGGGCTGGCGGTCTCCTGCCCAGTCTCGGGCCGCGCTTGCGGCTGCGGGCGGCGAGCCGAGGCGAGGCCGGCGGCCATGGCGTCGAGACGGGATGGCTGGCCGCCGCTGCCGTTCGCGGCGTCCCCCGTCCGGGCAAGCGCCGGCTCCTCCCCGAGCTCGGCAGCGGCGGCGGCGGCGCTGCCGCTGCCGCTGCTGCCGCTGTGAGGAGAAACGCGGCCGGGGGCGCAGCGCGTCTTCCTGCCGGGCGAAGGGCGAAGGGCCCGCCATGGAGACGGCGTCCGCAGAGCCCCGGCCGCCGGGCGCGCTGGGGCCGCTCGCCGCCCTCTGCCTGGGTGAGTCGGGGCCGCCCGGGACGGAGCGTGTCGGCGGGAAGGGCTCGGGCGGGAGAGCGGTGCGGGTGCCCGGCGGGATCTCTGCGAGGGGCAACGCGGGCGGGCGGGCGAGCGGGGCTGCGGGAGAAGTTGCGAGGGATGGCGAGGCGGCCAGGTGGTCTGGCTCGGCTGGGCTGAGGGGGGCTGCCGAGAGGCGGGCGGGCGGGCAGGCAGGCGAGGGCGCGGGGGAGCCTTTTGCAGATGGAGATCGTTGCCAGGCAGGGATGCCTCGCTGGCCGTGGGATGAGCGGAGGGAGAGGCGGGCGGGCAAGCACCAAGAGGCGCGCACTCTCCCGCTCCGCTCCTCCGCATTCACGCACCCACGCAGGAGCGCTTGATCCCACGATGCTGGTTGCCCGGGAGTGAACAAAACGTGCACAGCATCCGGGCTGGATGGCCAGGGAGCCTGGCCCTCGGTGCGAGAAACCAGCTCGCCCACCCTCAGCCGATGCACACATGCCTCTCGGCTACAGCCCCGGAGGACACAGGCTGGCACCGCTGGCTTTTCAGGAGAACCTGCAGGCAGGGACTGACACTCCGGGAGGGCACATGGGAGGCAATGCATGGCACCCGGCTGAAAGTAGAGAGGGACGTGCTGGGTACCTGAACGGACCCTTTGATTCAGCTTGCATATGCGGAAGGCAGGGGTGCATAGAAGTGCACAGAGCGGGGGGGGGGGGGCAGGTGGATGTGGTACGCACGGGCACAGCCCTGATGTGCGTTTTTCCTCTTGCAAGGGCACTGCAGAATGAAGTGACATCAGCTCTGTTTCCTCACGGGAATGCATCGTGTCTCTGTGTATTTTTCTGCACCCAGGTTATGCTCCGCATGGAAATGCTCAGTAGGATCGTGACTCTTTGTTGCATCAGTGATCTGCGGTTTTGACTGTGTTTCTTGAGAAATGTTTTGCTTGCTTGCTCTCTTGCTTGTTATAACTGGAGGCGGCAGCTTTTGCAAAGTTAGTAGCCTTGTGCTTAGCAAGGCAAGCATGATGGTGTTTCTGGCTAACTTTTTTTTTAGAAACAAGTTAGTGCAGTTTGTGTTAACAGCTTTCATGATTTGAGGCTGATGATATCTTAGAAATTACCCATCTGCATCTGGGAGGGAAAAATAAATTCTTTTTATAACTATTAATGTTTCATATAGAAACCAATACCATTTGTATATACTAATAAAACACATTGATGGCAATATTTTTTCAAATCCAAAGGAGCAAAATTCAGAATGAAATTGTATAGCTAGTTTACAATTGTAACAGGCTGCAAATCTTAAGTATCTTAAATCACCTGGAAGTATCATGTAACTCAGTGGGACTTCTGCATAGATATATCAGAACGTGCTATGAAGCAACTTGAAGATGTGATTTTCTAACTGGATATGAAGAAATCTACTTGTGTGTTTGGTCAGAAAGTCAAGCATATTAGCATGTGTAAAATCTGCTGACATCTGCAGGAACCCAAAAATGAGAGTTTTGCTCCCCATGTTCGTGAGAATCAGTGCACAAAGCTTGCTCTCCCCTTGTCCCTGGTTTTTAAAGTCCCTTTTCAACTTCAGAATATTGATGGGTAGCCTTTGTCACACACAGCTTCTGTACTAATGTAGAAAACTAGAGTTTTCTCTTTGATCATCAAGAGAAGTCATTTTATAGATAGAAACAGTTCTCACATCTGCTTAGTCAAGGCTTTGACCATTTAATCAGATTTGGATAGTTACTATTTACACTATAAGATTTTGAGGAGGACCTTTTCATCCCCCCAAGATAGAATGGATCACATTTATCCAGTGTCTCTCTTGATTAATTATGAAAAGTCTTGCAGCTTCCCTGCATGTTCCATGTCTAACTTTCCCTCTGTCTACTGCAATCTCTCCCATTTCACTTTCATAGCAAGTTTTAACTTATGAAACAAAGATCCAGTATATATAGCATTATAAACCACAGATTTTGTCTTGTAGTTCTTGATGTTGCTCTTGTTTTTAAGAAAAGGCTTTCAAGTCGTGGAAGTGAGTTCCTAATGTTCTCCTTCCTCCTCTACTTTTCCTCTGAGATAAAGATACATTAAGATGAAAAAAATCAATGGAACTTACTCCAGGGTAATTAGGGTTAGCTAATCATTTTATGCCTCCATTTTTCTATTTTCAGTGTAGGAAGTAATACCTCCCAAGTGCAGTGCTGAGATATGTGGTGAGTAGAGGAGCTGGACAAGCTGGAAAAGTTAAACAAAGAACTGTTACTTTAATGTACAAGGCATTTCTTTGGAAAGGAGCCTCGTACTTTAATCCTAGGATACACTGTCAGGCTGGTAATTGATGTGGTGTGCTGCATGGAACCAGCAGGATGATCAGGAAGCTCATAATCTAGGCTCTCGTGATTAAAAAGCCAGGATATTTGCAATCCTTCTCTCATTGACCCTTCTTCCCATCAGAAGTGTTAGAAGTCTTACATGGACCAGAAGTAGGAGCAATTCTACAAGTAACAAAATTTATAATCAAGGATGTTTTGCTACGCTGGTATGTGAAGTGGCATGTTTTAATGGAGGGCATCAAATGGATTGCCTGTCCTTGGACTAAGAAACATCGGACACCCTTGCCCCCCAGTGGTAGATCAAAACTTCCTACGATTTATTTTTATATTTATTTATTTATATCGTGATTTATATCCTGCCTTTTTCCTACAAAGGGCTCAAGGCAGCTTACATCATTCTCCTCCTCCATCTTATCCCCACAACAACCCCGTGAGGTAGGTTGGGCTGAGAGTCTGTGACTGGCCCAAAGCCACCCAGTTGGCTCCATGGCTGAGCGGGGACTAGAACCCAGATTGTCTTGAGTCCCAGTCCCACGTTCTGAACCACTGCACCACACTGGCTCTCTACACCACACTGGCTTTGCAAAGGAGGATGCTGTTCTTATAAAACAAGCTTCCTAAGAGGAGCCATGCAGGATAAGAGCAAAGGTCAGTCTAGACCAGCATTCTGTTCACATGATGGCTGATTAGCTGCCCGCAGGATCCCACAAACAGGACGTGAGTGCAACAGCCCCTCCTGCCCAAGTTCCCCAGCAACTGTGTACATAGGCACTTTGCTCTCAAAGGTAGCATGTAGCTCCCAGGTCTAATAGCCAGTGATAGCTTTCTCCTTCATGAATTTGTCCAGTCCCCTGTTTAAAGCCGTCCAGATTGGTCACCATCAGCACATCTCATGGAAGTGAATTCCATGGTTTAGCTATGCATTTTACGAAGTCCTGTCTTTGTCTTTTTATTAAGAAAGAGAGTTGGGATTCTGTAATGCCTCTGTGGCAAACTGAAGAAAAAGTCCTTCCATGCTCTGGGGAACAGATTCAGGGCTGGTACCCTATTCACCCAGGGCTAGTCAGGCCAGCGCAGTGGTGTGCTGGTGCTGAATTGCACTGATATTATACCACTGCAGTGCTCACAAAAATCAGCATAAGCTGCGAAACTAATGAAGTAATTACTCGACATTAGCATGCCCATGAACCATATAATAAATTGCTATTCCAATATGTGTTCATTAATAAAGATGTGAGAAATAAGCTAACACAGTTGCCTCCTTCCCGACATTCCCACCCCATCTCTGTGGTTTGAAACACAGGCAACAATTCTGCAACTTCAGTCCCCAGCCCCATCTGCATAATTTCATGATTCTGTCCAGGGTGGTATGGTGTGGTGGTTAGAGCTATGGGCTGGGTGCCTGGGAGACCCACACTGGGCAGCTCTGGACCAGTCCTGCACTATCAGCCTAGCCTACCTCATAGCATTGTGAGGATGAACATGGAGAGCAGAATAGTGTAAAGTGCCTTGGGTTTTTTGCAAAATGAGAAAAGGTGGGATATAAATGCAATGTAATAATAATTAGAATGTTGACGGTTCTTCAAATTTGGTGGTAATGAATATTCATTAGAGTCACTTGCTGGATGCTTTCTTGAAGGATTCAAATATTCCAAGTTATTCCAATACAGAGCAATCATATTACGGCACAGTTTAAAAACATGCACTTCCCTTACTGTATAGCGTTTTACTGGCCAGTGACTGGCATAGCCGCAGATGGCAATCCACAGCCCATCTATTTGTATTAATGGAATCTCAATAAGAACATAAGAAAAGCCCTGCTGGATCAGACCCAAGATCCATCCAGTCTAGCACTCCATGCACACGTTGGCAAACCAGCTGCCCACAGGATCCCTCAAGCCAGAAGGGCGCAAGACCTCTGCCTTCCCCATTTCCTCAGCAAATGCGTACCAGGCACACCACCTCTGATGAAGGAGGTAGCGTTTAGCCTGTCATGCCAGTGGCCACCGATAGCCTCTTTTCCCATGAATCTCTCCAATCCTTTTTGAAGCCACCCAGATGGGTGGCCATCACTACTTCCCGTGGAAGCAAATTCCATAGTTCAGCAGTACAGTGTATGAAGAAGTACTTCCTCTTGTCTGTCCTGAACCTTCCCCCAGTCAGCTTCATGGAAAGTCCTCAAGTTTGAGTCTTACGGGGGTGTGTGTGGAACAACTCCATCTCTGTTTCTCTACATATTTTTAAACACCTCTATCATGTCTCGTCTTACTTGCCTTTTTTTCTAAGTTGACCAGTCCCGGTTGTTGCAGCCTCTCCTCATAGAGGAGATGCTCCAGTCCCCTCACCATTTTCCAATTCAATAATGTCCTCATTCAGGTGGGTGACCAGAACTGGACAAAATATTTTATGTGCGGCCATATGGAGTAAGATCTTTCCCAATTATGCATAGGGTGGATTTTGCCTTTTCCACAGCAGCTGCACACTGGGTTGACATTTTCACCTAGCTGGCCACCAGTACCCCAAGATCGCTTCCTTGCTCAGTCACTGCTAGCTCCAGTTCCATCAGCGTCTACTTGCAGTTGGGATGTTTTTTCCCCCACATGCATCGCCCGTCCATTGTGGATTTGATTTCTGTCTATCATTGTATAATGTTTCTAACTGGCAACATTTTAAGCTTCTGCATGGAGGCACAAAAGAAGATACAAGCTACAAGGGCTATGAATAGCCTCGATCCCTTATTAAAATATTGATTGGTAGAATGCTATGAATGATGTTGTCCTGTAAGTATCTGCATGACTTGGAACAAGAGTTTTGCCTTCTACTGCTTTTGTTTTCTTGGATGAGAACTGTCAAATGTTGGCTAGACACAAGGGAAAACTAGCAAGAACACATGCATTTATTATTCAACTATAACATTTATGTAGTGCTTCCTGAGTGTTCTGAACACTTCACTTACACAGTCTCCATAATCCTTGCAAAGCTCCGTGAAGTAAACCAGCTGCAAGCTCCGAGTTGCAGAGAGAAGGCTGCGCTGAGAGAACAGAGTATTCTTGAGCCAGAAATTTCCCAGCCCTGCTAGTCGTGGTCTTAGCTACAGGAGCCCTCAAATGATCAATAGCTATTATAAACATATGTGGTAGCAGAGTCCTGTGATGGTGTATTCAGAAGGAAGTCCAAGTGTGCCTACTAAGGCTTACTGGCTAGGATATGTGCTCAGAATTGCAGTTTTAAATAGGTAAGCCAACAGTTTGCTTGTCATTGCCCTTTATTCCTTTTCTAAATATATGAATAAAAATGAATCCATATCATACACAGTGAACATGCAACTACATTCCTATTTCCTTGCAGTGTCATAGAGAGAAAGATTATAACTGAGATACAAGCTAAATCTGGAACTTGCTGAAAGAACATATATTTACACAATGTGAGGTGTTGCAATTATGTCTATTTTTTCTTTTTGTATTTTCAAAACAGTGAACCTCTTCTTGTCTGGGAAGATTGAAAGTGCAGTCCCTTCATTAGGTAAGATCTATTAATGTTTGAGGTTAGTTTTCTTGCTGATAGCTGAGAAACTAGTTCTAGTAAAGCAGCTTTCCAGATGTGTTGGACTAGAGCTTCCACGAATGGCCGGCCAGCCCATGGCGTTTTGCTGTAGGAATGTGTGAAGCATCCAGTGGGGGGCACAGTTCTGATGGATTTTCACAGTTTGTCCCCTGGATCAACTCACAATTTGCCAACCCTGCATCAACTCAGTGTGGTGCACGTTGAACCAGCATGTAGACTTCTGTTTCTGCAGCACATCATGACCTGCACATTGGAAAAGTAAGGAAATTTGCAACAGTTGTGTGATTAGTGCAAATCACATGACTGGAGTAAACTTCCTTAGCGTTTTTAGAAAAATGTCCAAATCATGGTCTCTTTTGGAGATGGAAGGCTGCAGATGCCCCTTTCCTGACTCAGCCCACTATGATCAGAAGAGAGCAGGAAGTCTTTCCAGCTCACATGAGTCGAATTTCCTAGCATCAGCACATCCCTGGCCTAAGATGAAGGGCAAGAAGATACGCAAAAGCCAACTGGGCTGGTGAGTTTTTCCATACTAGGAATGGGGCAACATCTTCCATCACACCTCAGGGCAGCAAGATGCTTAGGGGTGCAGGGAAGGGAGCACAGACACAGCTCTGTCGGCAACAGTTTATGGCTGCATCTGCTGCCTGAGGATACCCCTCCACTCTACCAAATTCTCGGGTCGGCTCTGCTCCTGCATTTCCAGCCAAAATGGTCATTGTGCTTGTTGAGGAACGTGTCTCTTTAGAGAGAAAGGAAAATCAACCAGTCTTGAGCATAACAAGCTTATATTTGACTGTGCTCTGTATTTCCTCTGTTACCAGTAGGTTTGTTAAAGAGATTTCTACATCGCCTTTTCATTTAGGCAGATTTGAGCAAAGTTGTTTTATCTTGCAATTTTGGCAGGCTCGTTTAGGGCTATTGATCCTCTCCTAGAAGATGTCTGTTGAACTACATTTAATCCAGAAAACCAAATAGTTTAGTAAAGCAGAAGTGGTAGGAAAGGGTAATGAGAGGTAACATCAACAATATTTGTTTAAAACTGGTGAAAACTAATGTGACAAAATATGCATTTAACTTCTAATGTTTAACATTTTGCTTTTTGTTTTTGACAGCTGCTTGCAGTGGAAAACTGGAACAGCACACTGAGCGACGCGGGGTCATATATAGCCCATCCTGGCCCCTAAACTATCCTCCATCAGTCAATTGCAGCTGGTACATCCAAGGTGACCGTGGAGATGTGATAACTATTAGGTAGGATGGGTTATTAAAAACAAGAAAACAATTTCAGCCCTAATGTAGTAAACGGAGGCTTGAGCATGAAAGAACTTTGCTTTTTTCATGGAGATTTTTACAAAAACAAATTAGCGAGAGTAGCCAGGTTTGGCTGCAACTGTGGCTGGCCTATTTTGAACCATCACCCTCCCTTTGCAAACATCAGTTTGTCTCTAAATCAGAATTGCAAACTGAGTTTAAGCCATAGTTGCCAGTTCTGTTTTGGGTAAAATTATGATTTGTGCAGTCCATATTTTATCTGACTTAGATGCCTTAGCAAACTAGGAAAAAAATAGTTTCAAATGTAAAGAGAGGAGAAAAGGTATTATTCCAATGCCTCTTCGTGACAGCCAAACCATGGATCCCAGCATCATTCACAAAGTCCTTACTGCTCTCCTTTAGCCTAACACTCTAAATGATACCACTATATAAACCAATTTGAATGGGTTTTAGATTGTCCAAGCTTCACCACTGGGACTAAACCAATCCTAAAATATCTGAATAAATCAGATCCTATCAGCTATTGAATTCTTAGAGCAGAAGGTCTCTTCAAATCTCTCTTTCCGCATTCAGAGATGTTGAAATATATTTTGGGCACCAGGCCACCACCCTGCCAGCTTGTAGCCTCTGCCTAACCAACTTCCCACAGCTAATCAGGGTTGGTTGTTGTTTTTTTTTTTGACAGGGACATATGCCTATTTCCTTAGCAATATGTCCCTCTCAAAAAACTCTGATTAGCCCTGTGAAAAGCCTGTTTTAAAAGAAATCCAGAGTTTTCACAGGTGGCTCCTATACAAGGGGATGGACCCATAAAATGGGGTGGCTTGCATTTTTCCATCTTCCTTAGCACCTAGAATGTTGGGAAGGGGTGGAAAGGATGCAGGACACTGAGAAGGATCAGGTTCAGCCAAAAAGAGTAAAGGAACTTGCTCTGAAGTGGATGAATACCTGTGAATTTGCTTCCCCTTGACAGTTCACATTTTGACTGCTGTAAAGTAAAAAAATAAAAATAAAAATCAACATCTGGATCAATTTCTGGAGTTGATACTTGATGCGCCTTGACAGTTGGAGCCCCGCTCCCCCCGGATGCCCACCTTTCTCATTGTCAAGTAGAGGCTTCACTTTTTTCAAATTTGAAGAGCTGTGCCATTGTACAAATTGGACTAAAAGTAATACAAAATATTTTAATTTATTTTTAAAAGTTGTTGCAAATTTGGGTTTCATTTTTAAAAACTCTGGCCAACCAGTGACAGCTCCTCCAATATACCAGTTGGGTACTGGTGGTCAGTTTGGAGATGTATTTGTGATACCAAAGCAACAACGTGGGCGGAATTAGTTTAGTTTAGGATTTATCCAAATCAGAACACATTAAATTACTTTAACTAAAAGAGTCGTCTTAATAACAAGAGTGCACAGAACAAATGAAACATGATTTTTAGCTCTTAGGACTTATGAAATTATAAACTTTTCAACATTTCTCAGCTGGTATTATACACAAGCAGTTCCTTTCTTATATGCTGTAAGATCCATTCATCAAAGCAATAGATCAGTCAAATCAAAAGGCCTTTATCTCCTTGACAAAAGAGCAGGATAGACTTCAGGCGGAATGGTTAGCTAGCTCCGACAGCAGACTGGAAAATGAACACAACACTCCCTTCTGTTGTCATTCCACAGTGTTTACTTCTAGGAACTTTCCTGTGAAATTGGCACAATTGTAAGCCCTGACTCAGGATATTATGCAATATACAACAAAAAAATCAACACACATTGTTCCCCCATCAGGAAGGAAGACTCCTATTCATTTTTCTGGAGTCTGCATAGGTGAACTTCCCGGCTGTTTGTGTCAGGGATTTTCTGAACCGCTTTAGTCACCCATTCCCACAGCCTTCAGGAGGAAGGGCAGGTGTGCCAAGCCTTGCCATTTAGGCCTGTTGTTCTTGACATAAGGCTCCACATCACGCCACTAATGGAGCTGGGAAAACAAGCAAGGCTTTCTGCCTCCCCACTCCCTTGTTCTAAACAATGGTGTTGCGCCTTTTTAATGAGCCAGTTAGGGCTTTCGCTGTGTTCACAGTCTGCCTTTACTTAGAGGGAGAACAAACAACAGTGACTTCTTTAGTTTTAATTGACTGATGCAGTAGCAATACTGGCGATAGCCATAATTTTTTCTCCTGGAACTCTGTGTATAAATTCTATTGCCGGTAGGGGGAATAACTTAGATTTGTAGTTTTCTGCTGATACGCAAATATGTCATGTAGGGCTTTGAAGTTTTAATAATAGATTTAATTTTTAAAAGTTTTAGATCATTAGTTGATAGGGGCATTTTACTTGAGTGGCTGCAAGCTAAAGGCACCCTTTTTCAGACCATTTGGTTCTGGAATGAGAACTAAAATATTAAAGCTGGCCTTTTCTACTACTGAGTGATAGTTTCTGTGTAATATATGTTAGGCCCTAGGAACCCTTCCAACATGGCAGAAATGATCTTTCAGCAGTGCTAGGTTGATGAAAAAAACTTGAAAAATGTTTCAAATCCCAGGAATAGTATTCTGACATTACAGGCCTGGTAGGGGAGGGCAAGGCAGGGAAAATATCATGCACAGTTCAGCGTATCCCCAGTCAATCTGTGTCTTGGGTTTTTGGAAGCAGAAAGGCAAATCAGTGATGTCTGTGTTTAGAAAGGAAGTCAAACTCCCAGAAGAATGGCTACTCCAACACAATTGGCTACAGTGCTTGTCATAGAAATGGTTTGCATGTGCAGTGGAAGAGTGATCATTCCTCCATTTGTTTTCATGTGATATCATCTCAAATCCGTCCTTGGGGTCCTAAAGTCCTATGCAGTTTAGGCTTTAGTAAAATCAGTCAAATAGAACTTTTCCAGTGTCTCCCTCCTGCGTTTCTTAGGTCTGTTCCTCTGAAAACAGTTCCATCTCCCTTAATTTTTCTTTTTTTCCCCTTTGGGCAGTTTTAAGAACTTTGATTTGGAGGACTCTCCCAAATGTTCAGTTGACTGGCTGATGATTGGCCCATCGTCCAAACGGGAAGAGTACAGAGTCTGTGGATCCTTCATCCCACCTTCTTTCATCTCTGCCAGGGATCATATCTGGATATTTTTCCATTCAGATTCTTCAAGTTCAGGGCAGGCTCAGGGATTTCGCCTTTCTTACATCCGAGGTAAAAGCTCCTTCTGGTTTGAATGACTGTGTATATTGATTGCCCAGCGCTGAGTTGCTAACTTTGCTACCAAGCCTAATTTCTTTTATTTATGACATTCTGTATCGGATTTATGCCAGTTCTTCTGTGACACTGTCAGACTGAGAGTGACTAATGCTCCTGAACCACCTAATGAGCTTTTTAGCTGAGCAGAGGTATGAACCCAAGTCTGAGGGCCGATTCAGCTGTGGAACCTATAAAATAGCCTACAAGACAGGTTTAGCAGACTTTTAATCCAGCAGGCATTTTTAGTTGAGGCTTGCTTTGTTTGCTGCCTTTGCTATGATTTTTACTGTTTTATCGTTTTGTTTTTAATTTTGTTCTGATTTATATTGAGTTTGATTGGTTCAATAAACTATATGTGCACATTATTATTTCCTACTTTTGATACAATCTAGAATTTAGGAAAAATGTTAGAATTGTATATCACAGACGTTAAGAAATACTTATTAGTTATGCAGAACATACAGAACCCTGTATCATTAAGCACAGAAGACAGAGGCTGTGGAACCATCACCCTGTTCACAGCTTGACCCCTGCGGTATCTACCTCCGTGCACTTTTCTTCCAGCTGCCTCCAGTGCTGGAAAGGAATGCAGTTCCCATGTTGCTGTGGTGTGTGCGTGCGTGCGTGTGTGTGTGTGTGTGTGTGTGTGTGTGTGTGCAAAAGAACTACAAGCTGGGAAAAGGTCCAGAAGGTGAACCCACTGGCAATTCTTCAGCAGGTACTTTTGTTTTGCCTACAAGGAGAAATAAATGATGGGAGGAAATGGCTTTAAACTGCAGATGTGCAAAAAACCTTCTCTAAATCTCTTCCATGAAAACAATCCTGACAGCTTATGCCCTCTTGGCATTCTTTATGGGCCTGTTCATGTACTGCAAGCCTCTTGTGATTTTCAGCTCTAGGAGTCGTGATTCTGGTAGCTGAGTGGTTCCAGGATTTAAATTTGCACACTAGAAAAGCTTCACCTTTTTAAAGTAGCTGATAACTTGAAAATTACTCTACTATAGACACCCTGTGGCTAAGGAGCCAATCCAAGGTTTACTCCCTCTTCTTATTTGCCCTGATTGTGTGGCACAAGGAAGTGGGGCTCTGTGTTTATTTTAAAAGGCCGTGCTTTTGTCATTATACTACTTTATTCACCTTGGGGAAGCAAAGGAAAATGTTCTAGTTTTGACTTGGCAGGGGATGTTGGATCACTTTTTAAAATCCGAGAGCTCTGGTTTCAGGTGTCTTGTTGTTGTTGTTGTTGTTGTTGTCGTCGTCGTCGTCGTCGTCTTCCCCATTTGAAGAGTAATGTGTTACCAGCTTCATATACCCCTTCAGAAAATAAAAATCCCCAACTGCTTCTCTGTCCCCTCCCCCTTCCCTCCCTGCTGCTTCATAAGATTGTATTTATTTCTCCCAAGTACACCTTGCCCGAAAACAAGGGTAATTAACACCTTACCTACGGACCAGTTGCACCCCTGTTCATCTTCTTTGGTGTCCAGCAAGATGCATTAAGTTGCTGCCCACCCCCTCAAACACTGTTTCTCGCCAGCAGCAGGGATTACGGTGAAATGGGCTTCTACTTATGCTGAAAATGGTGGGTTCAAACGATCGCACCTCACCCTTGCACTCAGGCTCCTGGGTAGGCTATTGCTCTTTTCCACAACTTCCATGGCAGCCATTTTGTGATCGTGCCCAGGATCATTTCTGAAATTGTGAAATGTGCTCAGGATCTGGGCCCTGCCCTAAAATATCCTTTTTGTTTACCCATGATCAACTTCTCGCCCATCTTTTTTAAAATTTTAATCTGACGTGGGATGAGAAATCTAGACTGAAGCATCTTCCTTATGCTCTGTCCCAGAGACGGGCTCCTTGGTGCCAGACATACGGCTCTTCTGCCTGTGGCAGACTGCATTCCTGCCCCTGCAGGGGGAAAAGTCCTGTGGGCGTGCTCGTAATGCCTAGGGCCTCCATGCATAACCCGGACATTTGGGAGCTGAGTAAGGAGGGATGCTGTCTCTCCTGCATGGCACCATTGCCGCTGGACCTCTGCTGACAAGTTCAGGGCAGTAAGGCCAGTGGCAGCCCGGAGGGCACCCCTGCAGTGTGCTGGGAAGAGAAGCTCTGTGCTGGCTCGTGAACTCAGGCTCTGCTTGAATTGAAATAATTTCCCCAGTGTGCAAGTGGCAGTGCAGCCGCAGCCAAAGACACACCACCTTTGGGGTCCCGTGGCCAGTGGCGGCACCCGAGCAGCAAGAGGGGGTGATCACAGCCTCCTCGCTCACCTTCTTAGCACTCCAGCATACTCATTGGCTGCGTGCCCCCAAAGTTGTCACGTGATTGGCTGCCTTAGCTACAACTCCAGCTCTAGGGGGAAAACATTTAAGTTAAAATGGTGTATTTCTTTGGACAAAGAGCTTTTCTTCCTAAGCAGCCTTGCCAGCCAAGGAAAAATGCCTCCCCACCACTGCCCAATGGTTGAAGGAGGAAGAAAAGCAGGGTGGAAGCAGACACAGAGAGAGAAGTGCGAGAGGAGCAGTCCTGCCATCCAAGAAATGGTTTAAAGGCAGCCAGCACAAGAATATCCATAAACTAACTCCGAAGGATAAGAAGGGACCCCACTGTCCTGTTCATGGACTTTGAAGTGATGGGTGCATACATGTTTTTACTCCTCAAATATCATTTTCTTGCTATTTCCCCAAAGAGTAATGCTGGTTTATACATAGAAATAGATTATTTGTTTTGCTCAGTGTGCAGTGCACAACCGCATGCAGAAGAATGGGAAGGTGGAGTGATTGCAGGCAGATGCTGTTGTACCTGGAAAATCCCATCACCACTCTACTTGCAAACACAGAAGTAACTGCTCTGTGTGTGTGTGTGTGTGTGTGTGTGTGTGTGTGTACAAACACAATCTCTTTATTCATACCAAGCAAATCTATACAACAGGATGGCCAATGTAGGGGGTTCTCCCAAGGGTGTTCTTGCCTAGGGACCCTGAAACCTTTGTTAATAAGAGCACTAGCTGCACTGGGATAGAAAATCAGAAGCAAAAAGCAGTGAGACAAAACTGGGAAATCAGCCAAGTGTGCTTGTCTTATCTTCACATGGTGCAAATAATGCCACAGAAGATGTTTCCAGAAGAATCACATGAAGCAACTGTCAGTCAGACCGCTGTCACCTCACTCATTAAGTGCCAGTTCCTCCCCAGGATGATTCAGCCAAAGGCAGAGTTAAAACAGATTGCATTCTTATGGGTTCTTAAGCATTCCTACTCTTTGGAATGGGGCTCCTGAAAGTTCAGGTGAGTTGTGAAACAAGTTAGAAGAGACTTATTTCTGCTGCAACAAAATAGAATCTTGCGTAATTGCATTGTTCCAAACCTCCTTTACTTCCAAGGTTTGACTCTGTTTATGCTATTTGTATTTGCAAAACAAGACAGAGTGCGCTTCCAAATGAGACTTTTGCTGCGTGATCGCACTGCCTCTTTCATTAAATTTGGGGGACCAATATTACCATCTTCACCTGGTAGCCATTTTGTCTCTTCACATAGCTACTTCCATCTTTTTTCTCACCAGGGGAACCTCCTCCCCATCATGGAAGAACAGATGGAACAGCTGCGCAGTCTTTTTGATTGTTAATGATATGAGCCATCCATCCAGAGTAATAAATGCTCGCAGAAGTTTCTCATGTTTGTTTCTCACTTCACAGGAAAAATTGGCCAGACTAATTGCCAGTCTGATGAATTCCATTGTCTAAATGGCAAATGCATTCCCAGCACTTGGAAGTGCAATTCCATGGATGAATGTGGTGATAATTCAGATGAGAAAAATTGCACCATCCCCTCCACTGAGCCCCAATCCAGTATCTGCCCTTCTGGAACATTCCAGTGCAGTGCTGCCCATTCCACCAAGTGCTTATTGAACGAACTGAAATGCAACTCCGTGAAAGACTGCAGTGATGGTTCAGATGAAGAAAACTGCCCTGATCTTTCCTGTGGCAAAAGGCTTGGCAACTTTTACGGGTCGTTCGCTTCTCCGGACTTGTTCCGCTCGGATCACAGCCGGGCAGACCTCCGCTGCACGTGGTACGTCGACACCCAAGATAACCGCCACGTTCTGCTGCAGCTGGACTTGCAGCTTGGGTACAACGACTACGTGAAGGTGTATGATGGTTTAGGGGAAAGGGGTGATAAACTTCTGCAGACGCTTTCCTATCATAATAACAGGCACTCGGTAAGCCTGGAGTCCTCCAAGGGGCAACTGACGGTAGCATATCACGCCCAGCCAAAGAGCACTGGCCATGGCTTCAATGCGACCTATCAGGTGAAAGGTTACTGCCTGCCTTGGGAACATCCGTGCGGCCACAACGAGGAGTGCTACACGGACAAGCAGCGCTGTGACGGGTGGTGGCACTGCCCCAACGGCAAGGACGAAGAGGACTGCCCCGCCTGCCAGAAGGGTGAATTCCCCTGTGAGGGAAACAGTGGACTGTGCTACTCATTGCTTGACCGGTGTAATAACCAAAAGAACTGTCCCGACGGCTCAGATGAGAAGAACTGTTTCACCTGCCAGCCAGGCAACTTCCATTGCGGAACCAACCTCTGCATTTTCGAGACGTGGCGCTGCGACGGCCAAGAGGATTGCCAGGATGGAAGCGATGAACACAACTGCCTGGTGATCGTGCCCAGGAAGGTCATCACGGCTGCTCTCATCGGCAGCCTGGTCTGTGGGTTGCTCCTGGTGATAGCGCTGGGGTGTGCCTTTAAGTTGTACTCACTGAGAACCAGGGAATACAGGTGAAAATGAATAACCATTTCCACTGTTCTAGCAGGTCCTGATGCTTTCCTTCTGAGAGAGGATGATCTGGGTAACTAAGTTTTGAAAAGGAAAGCAAGTTTATAGGTAGGCTTTGTTATGATACTTAAGCAATGGCCACACCTACTTTTGCTTCACTTCTGTTATTTCTTAGTGGTGCAGTTATTCCTTTGATTTTTCTTGATGAACAAGCCATTGTGAAATGAGCAAGCCATTGTGTGCTTTGCGCATATATGTTCTGTCTTTTTGTGCCTGCAAGGAAGAGATCAGAAAGCTCCACTTTCAGTTTTTAACAAACCACAGTTCCCTGTGACATCAGAATTTGAGTAACTGTGGCCTGTTACACGGATAGCTTCTTTTATTTATTTTATTTACATCCCACCTTTTTTTTCCTTTCAGGGAACTCAAGGTAGCTTACATAATTCTCCTCCTGCTCTTAATCCTCACAACATCAGCCCTGTGAGCTAGCTTGAGCTGAGAGTCTGTGACTACTCCAGAGTCACCCAGTTTGAGCTCCTTGACTGAGTGGGGACTACAACCCAGACCTCCTGAGTCCCAGTCCCTCACTATCAATCACTGTACCCACATTAGCTCTCTTAAGCCACACTTTCCTTGGTTGAGCATCAGAGGTGAACTGGAAAACTCTGCAGTAGCCTGTGGAAGCAGCAGGGACCCTCAGTCCTGTCCTTTCTTCCCACTCCACCAGCCAGCGTTTGTTAGACCAGGACTACGCATGACCTTAATACGTTTCAGGCACAGTAAAAGTAGTCTCCAGTTCTCAAATGGTCACAGTGAATATCCTTGCCAAAACCTAGATGATTTGACATCCCCGTAGTAAGTAAACCTAAGGGCTTGGCTAGATTGCTTAATTGTAGCGTTCAAATGCCAAACTGAGGGCAGACGGAAAAGTACCGACTGGAAAGAAGCAATAAGTAGTGTGGGAGAAACAGTTGTCACTTTTGGTTGTGCTCCTGCACTGACCAGCTGTGGAAACCGCCACATACCCAAAGTGAGAACATTGCTTTCATAAGCAAATTGCAGCAGCATTTTTTAATGAACAACTCTATAGATGGTGTCTGTTTTTAGAGAGTGATGAAGATCAAGCCCTTCTACAGACTCATACCAGTTTGCAGGATTCTTCGTTGACTCCCTGCTTGTGAGAACTTGTTCAGCCAAAATCTCTTTACTCAAGTCTATAACGCCTGCCATGACGGTTATGAGTCATGCGTAGGTAGTTGACATTTGTCATTGGTGCTCTGGGCAGTGAATAATGCAAAGAAAAGAGGAATGGATTCTTTTCTCTAATCATTCAGCTCTTGTCAATTTCTGCCTCTTGTCCTACCGTTTTAATCATCCTCCAGGGCATTTGAAACCCAGATGACCCGTCTTGAGGCAGAATTTGTGAGGCGTGAGGCTCCTCCTTCCTATGGACAGTTGATCGCACAAGGACTTATCCCGCCGGTGGAAGACTTCCCTGTGTACAACGCATCACAAGTAAATATAGCAGGAATGCAGAACCACTTTCAGTCTGAGCGCTGGATTCCTCTTTGAAGAAGATTTTGCAGGTTGCATTTCAGTGATGGGTGAGGCCAAAGGCAGAAGGGGTGGAGCCAGAAATACAAATCCCAGCATATGTAGCAGCGTAAAACTCTCATGGCCAGTAATGGAGCCTTAGGAGAAGAATCTCAGCATTTCCAAAGAAGGGACACTGCAGAAAATCCAGGAAACCACCCAATGATCTGTAGCTGGAGGAAAGGGGTGGGGCCAGGCAAAGGAGGCATGGCCACCTGGGGAGCCCTGGATTTGGGCCCCAAGCTTGTGGTTCAGCACCCCAGGCTCTGATTATTCAGAAGTGGACTCTGATCATACCATTTTGAACCCTCTTTAGATTTTTTACCAACTTTTGTTTCTTCAAAAGCATTTCTACAGAGTTCTATGGTGCTCCTTCAGAATACGGAAAGCACACCCTCTGCAGTTAAAGAGGGAAAGTTTTGTGTTTTGTAAACATGAAAATCCTTCCATGTGACCATGAGGGTCTGAAGGACTTCCAGGGGAAATTTGAATTGGCTTTGTTTTCCTCAAAATCATTAGTTGTCTTTCTTAGGGTGAAATTTCTCTGACAACTCTGATAGAAACATGGGTGAAAATACAGCTTGTTCAGTCAATGACAGCTATCGTGAAAACTTGAATGAACTACCTGTGAGTAATTTGCACATCTTGTTGGCATAATTACTACAAAACTGCACACAGAGGCAATGGTCCAGCCCAGGTAGTGAGCAGAGTAAATATTCCTCCGTTGCTTTGTGTTCTGTTTCCAAGTGGCAGCTAGAAGTAGACAGGCCTCTGGATGCTTTGCAGGCTGATTCTCTGCACATTTACTCTCGAGAAAGTCTCATTTTGTCATTGGCATTATTTCCAAGTAAGGGTGCCCTGGAAGTCACCCCAAGTCCACACTTGTGAAAAGAAATGGTTTGGTCCTTTCTATGAAACTGGCAATGGCAGTTTTCTTCCTATGCCAGGCTTGGCAGCTTAGTGCCTCTAGCAGAGCTTGGTGGATCCAGAAGTTCAGGGTCCATGTCTTGATGAGACATCCCAGGCGTTGCTACTTACAGGTTATGTGCTTTTATGTTCAAGATTCATGCAGTAACAAATAAATGTATCATGTACTTTGGCTCTTCATGCAGAGCTCTCTGATTTGTGTACATTTATACTTAGAACTGTGGTTATATATGTGACCATTGACTGCTAATGTCTTGCATTAAGAAGGTTGAGTTTTGATAGGAGCTTTGGGGGAATGAAGTGGAGAAAGCTATGTTGGTAGAAAGTCAGAGTATTTTGTCAGACGTTACAAAGGCAACTGAAAATATTTTTCTTCCTGAAAATCATAGGGATGCTTGTACACACAGTGCAGGTTTTATGAATGGCTGGATTCTGTTTTGCCTGCCAAAGGCATTCAGTTCTGCAGTATGATCCTGTTACAGCTGATGCTCGACTTGTAATTGCACAAGCACCGAAAAGATCTACTTCATGTTTTCATTTCAGGCATTTTTGTCCTTTTCTGCATCGGCTTTTGCTGTGCCAGAAGCATTTGGTGTTACGGTGGAAATGGGGCCGAGAGTAGTTGCTGGGCCCACCCTAATCCTGATAATCTCTTCTATTTTTGAGGTCAGCAGGTTGGGGAGAGAGAGAAATCTGGGAAGCTGGTTTTGTTGCGATTTGCTGTGGCTGATTTCAGAGGATGATTACTGTTAACATTCAGTTAGTCTCAAGAGGTAATACAGCTGCCAGGATGTTAAGCAAATTCTCTCTCTGCAAACCAAGGGGAGAAAAAGCCATTGTATTTCTCTTCACAGGCCTCTGTCCTGCAGAACATCCGAACTGCAATGAGGAGGCAGATGAGGCGCCACTCATCCAGGCGAAGCTCTTCCCGCCGGCGCCTGGGCAGGCTGTGGAACAGATTCTTTCACAGGCCACGAGTGAGAGGCCAAATCCCACTGTTAAACCCCACCCACACTTCCCAGACGGTGCTGGGAGATGGAATCATCAATCGCACAGAGGGGACGTCTGCCCAGAGTCCCCCACCTTCTCCTGAAGGAACCACTGTTGAAACGGAGACCTGCAGCCCGAGTAGGAGACTCCCAGAATCTGAAACCAGCAATTTGCCTTCAGGGACAGAAGCTGTAGAACCAACCCCCTCAGAGACTTTGTCAAATACCTGCACAGCGGCTCTGCCAGAGCCAGAGGATGGGCACAGCAACAAGCCTTTGGGTGCCGAAGACACCTCCAGCAGTGAAGTGAGAGCAGCCAGCAGGGCTGATACGGGGAAAATGTTTAGAGACCCTTTGCTGGAAAGGGTTACAGAAACACACCAGGGCACCGGACCAGCGCCCAGCAGAACCGTTGCAGAGAACCGGCGCTCCGGCAGGAATACCTTGCTGAGCGAAGACCCCTGTAGGCTTCCTGTGAAAAAGTGGGGCCCTGTGTGCTCGGGCAGCCCCATGAACGTCCCCATTCAGGTGGACGGCCAACACTGCTGTTGCCCACATTCCTATCGTGAAGAACCTTTGGACATTCACCCCACTTGTTGCCATTCCATGGAAGTGCCAATATTAGAATCCCCTCCCCCTCTCCCAGAAAGGAGCCCCAGTGACGATGAGTCTTTACTGGTTTGCTAAGAGATCGTGCTGGGCTCCGGCAGGTCCTGGGGACATTTCAGATTCTATTGTAATGCACACCATCCGTAGCCAACATCCAACACATCTCTGTTAGAACAGCACATTGTTCTCCAGTGGAACAGAATATCGACCGTGAGGTTAACTAGGACAATCGTGGCAACTTCAGCTGATGCGAGTATGTCCTTACAACCATACTTTTCTTCTTTCAAACAGTTCTTTAGTTGTATAGTATAAGTAAAAGGCACAGGACTCACAGTTTGACATCTCTGACCATCTTGCGCTCTCTCCTTCACATACAGATCTCTAACTAGTGGGCTGATGACAGAAGCCCAGCTGTCCTTTGATACCTTAGGGGGAAATCCTACACAAATTTAGATGGGGAAAAAAGTTCTGAAGCTCCCAGCGTACCCCAGCCAGCTGTACTGGAAATTGTAGGCCTGTTTCTGTCTAAACTTGTATAGGATTGCACCTTTTGTTTTGCTTTTTTGTGGCATAAGCTTTTGTAGATTAGCGCCCACATCTGATGCACAAAGTGCTTGGCAGATAACATTTGTATGTGATCAGAGAATTTTCTTCGCCGTCAGGCTAGGGAAAGAGAGCAAGTGATTAAATCTCCCTTCTTGGTTTGCATCGGCCACGATTCTTCTGGTGATTATAGTCTTGTATACCAGGAGGCCTCTCTGGTGCCCCCACTTCTCCATGGATGGCGTATGATTGCCAGGGAGAAGACTGACCCAGTGGGGTTCCAACCCGAGCACACAGGCAGCAGCTCCTCACAGCCATCGCATCTGTGGGAAGGAGCAGAATCTGCCTGCAGTATCCCCCACCTGCCTGTGACTTATGGGTGCGTTGGTACACAACCCGAGCAAAGATCTGCTCTTAGGATTTAACACTTCCCTAAATATCTGTCCTGCTTCTGTTTTGCAAAATAGTTTACTTACTCCTTTCGAGATCAAACATAAGCCTTCAGCTTCCCATTCTAGGCTTGAGGGGATTCAGCTGGCAGGCAAAGTGGGTGCCAGGCTCAGCTGTGATTACTGCGACTGCTCAGCTGGAGATAGCCAGTTATCGAAGAGTTGTTTAAATTAAAGCTGCGTCTACACTGCCCCAGGGTAAATTATTTAACAGGAACATGAGCCCATGGGACATCATTTCCCTTCATTTGCTTTTACTGTGGGTTTTCAGCCACTTTCGGTCACTTGCTTCCTTCGTAATGGTAGCCACCAGGATTAAGAAATGCCAGTACCAGCCAAAGGTTCTGTCAACTCTGCACAGAGAAAATGGCTGCATTTTTTGGTTTCGCTGCCACTACAATACCAGAGGAGCCAAGTTCTGATTATAGTGAGATTGCATCAAAGCCTGCATTCAGTGGGTTGATGTTGCATCAATTTTCCAATGGTATTTGTTGAGCTCTTACTTAATGTCACATATTCAGTCCTACCCACTGCCCCTTTCCCTCCAGGAAGTTACTGATGTTAATAGCAGAAGCAGTGATTTAGAACTCCTGGAGGCTCTGGCAGGAACTGGCACAATTCAAACTCTGTCCTGAAGAACTGTGAGCTTTCTCAGATGCTTATCTGGATTTAATCAGTGAGATCAGTTAGGCCATGGAAACTTGCCTGAAAGACAGTGGTCTGTCTCAGACCTCATGAGAACAATGGTTTCCTGCTGTATAAATGAGCCTGCATGAGGTTTAGCTAATGTGCTTTCCCGCTTCATGCTCTGGAGGTGGACATGGGAAGCATCCGGCCCAAGTTTGCACCAACAAACCAAGTTCCATATGCCATTTGAGCAGAGGCGACTGTGTTTGTCTAAACTGTAGTTACTGAACAAACCAGGGTCCAGAACAGTTCGATCCTAGTCTGCTTCCAGTAAATAAAGTTTAAACAGACCACAGTTTACTAAGTTCAGTTTAAAACTGAAAGTGGGTTATTTTCAATCTCATTGTGAGCATGAAAATAGAAGGGGAGGGAAATCTGAGAGCTCACCAACTAAACTGGGCCACTTTGCCCATCCTAACTTGTCGCTCATATGCTGAGAAGTTTGGGGTGTATTCTAGGGTGAATTCTGACTTCTTACTCACATCCTACGTAACCTGATACTGCACTTTCAGACTTGCTGCATAATCTCTCTTGGGCAAGGGATCCACGGCCAGCAAGATGGTGATGAAAGGCTTTAGTGACATAGGGTGTTTCAAAGCCCCTGGAGCAGGTTAAACTTATGGAGTCGTGGCCTGAACATGTTTTGAGGAATAACTGCTGAGTTTTATTTCGCTTTTCATTTTTTGTAACGCTGTCTACTCTGTTGAGGTTAACCATCACCTTCAAAGATCAGCATTGTGTAGGCTCTTAAGTACTGTGTGCAGATCAGTGCCTTTTACTTTTTAAAAATATTAATATTTTTAAATAAAAGAAATGTTGTGACTGTTGTTGCTTGGACATGACGGCCCTGCTGGAGCACAGCACAAGCCGTTTACGATGGATGATCTTGAGCTGTAAAATTTGTACACAATCTTCTCCATTGCCTGAGCAGGGGTCTTCCCCCAGAACGCCTTTGTGTGACCCCAGCCTGCCCTGGCTGAATCCAAGATTGCTCCAAAAGTATCTGTCAAAAGTGAGCATATGGATTGGGTGACTTCCCAGATCTTTTCACCAGCTGCCGGGGAGGAGGGTGTGGCAGGGTGTGTTCAGCGTGGCAGGAACTCCCCAAGGATCTAGGCAGACGTCTTGCCAGTTCTGCCACCTGCAACATGTTTCGGTGGCGTGGAGAGGGAACGCACCCAAAACATTTACCACATAAAGCACATATTCTGCTGTCGAGCAATAGCATGGAAATGTTACCTTGCCGTGTGATGTTACTGGAGCTGCACAGGGTCCAGTCATGAGGTGGGGGAACGCCACTCCCACATCACTCCAGTAATCTCAAAATTGCACTGTAAAATAATTCGTAATATTCCCTGCCACCTTTTGATTTTTTTCCTTTGGTGCATTCACTGCTTCATTTCAGTGCAAGATACTGTTTTACATGCAGCAGGCTCCCTGGGATCAGCAGACCTTGTAGACACCTAACTGCACAGCCAACGTAATAGTGCACGGCTGTTTTTCAAAGTGCTGATTGCTTTTAAGAATAGCTGTGTTCACATGTCACACTAAGCTACCCTGCAAATAAGCCATGAAGCATGGGTAATTTGTGAAACAACCCACAGTATGCCTAGCAGACGATCAGGCTTCCTGTGGCTTGTTCTGTTCCTCCCCCCTTGGTCCCCCAGCTGGCTTCCCAGTGTCCTTTGCTGGAGGACCTCTCCATGCTCCAGTTGCCGCCACTGTTCATCTACCGCTAAGAGCTTTTTCCCCCGAAGCCTCAAAGATTCATAAGTGGACTGATACTGTTTGGCCCCAGAAAATTGTCCAATAATTTAGTCGTGGTGGTATTTTGCAAGTGTGCAGGTGCATTTTTATGTCAGTCCAATATGTGTAGTCTGGCTTAGTTTGTTTCTTGGTGTGTTTCAGCTGTCAAAAGGAGCAAGCTAACAAACATGGGAATTGACGAGCTTGCAAGTAGGTTATTTCTGCGCAGTTGCCCGGGTCCAGCTGCTGAGTTGTCAATTGAAAGGGCCCAAAAAGGGGAGGGAAAGCAGCAGCAAATACTGTGTACCAAAAGATGGTGGCAGGGAACAATATGCCCCAGTGCAACCCTCTGAATCTTAAGTGTTGAACTGACATTTTTCAGTACACTCCACCTTTTCGACACTTTCCTAAGTGTTCAGCCTCTCCAGAGAGGGGAGATCTTAATCCCCCAACTTTTCCAGCTTGTTTTTCAGATACTCATTGCTGTAGTTGCTCTGACTCCTTGGCTGTTCTAAAAGAACTGCAGAAATATGTGCACATTTAATGACTGGAAAGTAAATGGAGTGGACAATGGCACCAGTTTAAGGACTGGGGAGTAAATGGAGGGTGAATTTCTGCATCTGCAGTATATCCTTTGTCGCCGTAGGTGGTTAGATTTCCATTCCATTTACTGCTGTTTCCTTAAACTGATGCAATATTCCCCTTCATTTATTATTTTAAATGTTAAATTTGTGTTAATGTTCCAGTCCAAAAATTTGATGAACTATTCCCAACAGTTTTTGGGTTTTTTTTTTTAAACCTGGTGGTGGAACAGAATAGGACAAATGGGATACAAGCCAGTGGTGCTCACATCTGTGATCTCATTTATTCTGTCCCATTCAGATGCTTTCTCAAGGTTGGGTGGATTTGTTTTGGAACTGTCAGGGAACAGCAGTTCTCTGAAAAGCACCCACGAAAGGGCTGCGGGAAACCGGTATCTCCACTTTCTAGACTAGCTGGAATTTCAGAGCAGTGCTCAGATTGTGGAAGACATGAGAAATGTCAGTTCAGCACTAAAAATTGAGAGGATTACATTGCTAAAGCTCGCCCTTCCTTTCTGGTGCACCTTCTGCTACCGTATTTTCCTCCTGTATTGGTGCTTTTCCGTTGGCCCAGCAATTGAACTCAGCAGTTGGCCCCTGGCCCCGTGCACAAAGGAGCCTTGTCCATTTCTGGGTCTGTTTCCTGCTCCAGTTCTGAGAGCTGAAACATAAAAGGGAAATGGGCCAGGCAAGACAACATTTATGGTATTTATTGGGCAGCTGTAAGAGCACACCTGTGAAAGGCCAAAGCAAATTTTAAAAATCTATGAGCACATTTATGCAATTTTCTGGGGACATTTTTTAAAAAGGGGAGTGAATCAGTGATGGTCTCTCCAAAGTGCTGCTTGGACATGGGTGAAGAGGCTGCCACTGGCAGCAGCAAGGGCAAAATTGCAAAGAGCGGCAGGGAGTTTTGCTGAAGGTTGGTAGCCAATCCCCACAGCCTATGATGAAATTGTTTTCCCAGGTTCTGATGACATGAGAAGCCATCAAGGACTGTTCTTAGAACTAAGTCATAGGGTGGCTTGTTGCCAGAAAACAAACTAGCCTCTGGGAAGCCTTAAGGGGCTGAGTGACATCACAACCCACTGTGGCTCCTCACAATGGGTTGTTGTGTCATGTGAACCTAGTCAGTGTAACCAAACGCCTCCTTCATCCTGCCACTTAATAACTTTTTGGTGCAACAAAGTTAAAGGTGGTGAGGGATGGTGAGAACGACTGAATGGCACAGAGAGTGGTCCAGAGTGCCTGAAGATGCTCGTTCGCTCTCATTTGCGTCTCGTGAGATCAGAAATGGTGTCTGGGTTTTGGAAGGATTAAACTGTGTGAATTAAGCAAGGGCGGTATGAATTGGAATGTGCTGTATCAGCAAAATGCTTTTTGTTGTAAATTTTAGAGGTTTCATCTGTTTTTTTCCTACAATTTACCAAGTAAGTTAAAATGTGTCAACCATCCTTCTGTTGAAGTTCAAAGCAAAAAATAATAAAAATAACCTTGAGTTGCCTTTCCTTTTTGAATTAAGATGTGCTAGTTAGTAGTGTTTCAATAGTCCCTGAAGCATCACTTCTTTGAATGGCTACCTTAGGTGTGTTTGTTTTGTTTTGGTTTTTTGTTTATGTTTTGTATTGCCTTTTTTTTTTTTTTTTTGCCAAATGGAGTGAAGCCAGAATAGGGCCACAGAGAACCAAGAGGAGGTTTGCTTGAGGCAATTTCAAGATTTTCTGTGATACAAAAAAGAATCTAACCTCCCCCTGCAAATAAAGAGATACTCTGCCCCGCGACCTGCCCCCACGAAGACAGTAGACATAGAATATTGTCAGCTGTGAAAGAAAGCAAAGCATGGAGTGTATCCTAGACCATATAACTAGCTAGCTGGAGCCCTGAACTCTTCAATTAGGTGGTGAGGCTGCACTGCGACATTTTGATGCAGTTTGTGTTTATGTAGCATATTTGGACCCAAACAATTGTAGCAGAAAACTTATGTTAGCGGAATCGACCTTACCTCCCCGCAGCAACAGCTCACAATTTGATGGAAGCGAAGGCATCCTGGTAGCCACGATGTGCTCTCGCTGATATCAGAGGCAGGATGCCCAGGCACAACCCCTGCTGGGGCGCTTGGGCAGGAAGGTGCTCCTGCACTCGTGTCCTGCTTGTGGAATCCCAGTGGGGGCCGGTTGGCCTCTCTGAGATTGGAATGCTGGGCAAGGTGGAACCCTGGCCTGATCCAGCAGGGCTTGTACATTCTGACGTGCATTTACAATCTCCTTAGTACTCAGTAGGGACGCCTCAAAGCCCTGAAAGTACAGAGGCTTCTCCATATCTTCTGCGGGAGGAAGTGCTTCATGCAAATATGAGGATTTGGGCATCTGTGAGCACAGAACATTCCCTTGCCCATGAAAGAAAATGAGGGACTTCCTATGTGTTCTGATTTTGGAGCCCTTTATGTAGCACTTAGGTTGAGATGGAAGGTTACTGAGGAGAGTACTTTTAACGGTTTGGGTCCCGGTAGGGTGCTTCCAGAAAAAGCACTAGCAATCTAAAGATATGCACCATTACATATTTTTGTCCTGAGTGGATCTCTTCCAGTACATTAAAAATGGAAGAAGTGGGAAAACACAGAACTACAAATGGAAGGCAATACCATCTGCAACCACCTCTCATAAAGTTCTGAGAGAATTGCCATTGCATAATAAAAGTCTCATCTGGAAGTACCCTGAGGCAGCTGCGCCAGCACCTACTGGAATCCATGGGATGGAGGTTGTCCCATGGATCTGAATGGAACCTAGGCTCAACCAGCCTAGTCGGGATGAGGCCCTTCCTGCTTCTGGACTTGTAACACAGCTGTTTTGGACCACCCATCACTCTCCTAAGCCCTCTCCCTTTTTCATAAGGACTGAGAGAGGGCCCTATTTTGGAACTCCCCAGAAGCTCTACAGCAGACTTTTAAAACTACCAGAACAAGCAAATAAACCACACATTTTCCAAATCTGTCTGGACCATCTGCCTGTCCTTAAAATGCATCATCAGAAGAAACAACCAGCATGTTTTATTCTATTTTACTCCTTTTTTTTCTTTTTTAGGAAAAAGAGCTAAGTGCTACTAGATGGCTACCAGAGTGGCTGAAATGGTGTATCTTATTGTATGTGTTTTTCTATTGGATTTCTAAAAAAAAACAAAACACATTTTCAAGATTTTTCTTCTTTTTCCAAACAAAAAATCATTGTGTAAACAACAAGAAAAATCTACTTTTCTGATGTAAAATATATCATTATTTCTTCAACGTCTTTTCATTTCCTGGGAGGGAGGAGTGAGCAGAAGGTAGATTGTCCTCTTCGGTGGGTCCCCCCTGAGGGTAGACGACAAAGCACACCTTCTGGCCCCAGTGAGTCAAGGATTCTAGAAAGAAGGACCAGGTTGTCAATGAAATGTGACCACAGTAGTCATTATCACTTGGGGATCAACTCTAGCTCAGTGGTGGAACAGGGGTTTGCATCTGGAGGGTCTTGAGTTCAGTTCATGATCTGCTGGAGTGAATCTCCTGACATCAACCTATGAGAACACGATGTCCCTTGTCTATGGTCTTCCTCCAGGTGCCTCCTCTGAGGAAAATTTAGAGTGCGGCAACAAGGACGAGAATCTTCTTAGTGGTCGGTCCCCAATTATGGAATGGACTCTCTAGTGAAGTCTGCCAGGTGCCAACATGGTTATCCGTTCAGTGTTAAGTTAAGACTGCACTCCCTGGTATTTGGCACCGTATATGGTTTGGGACTGCAACATGCCCAGCAACTCTCCAAGCCACCATTGACCCGGATGTTCAACATCTGACAGAGGATCAATTGATGGCAACAAGGATGAGGGCCTTTTCAGTGGCAGCCCCACAATTGTGGAACTGTCTTTCCACTGAGGCCCACCTGGTGCCAGGTCTGCCTTCATTTCAGCACCAGTTCAAGGCTTCCCCCTCTGACAAGGAATTTAACAGTTGTATTAGCTCATGGGGGAGTGTGTCAGCTATTTTAACAAGCCTAATTGTTGGTTAAGCTGTTTAAAAACCAGTTTTTAAATCACCTGCAATGAAATGTCTTGATGTTTTTCCTGTAGTTTATTTTTGATATCACATTTTTAATTTTCTGAATATACTGCCCAGAGAACTTCAGTTTCTGGGCCAAATAACAACAACCACAGCAGCAGCAACAATGGTAACAGCAGCAGCAATAAATGATAGGTTTTTAATTTGTTCATGGAATATTGTTTGGATATGGGTGTTCATAGATATGTATGTTTGGGGTCTGTTTATATATTTGTGTCATATATTATGCCCAATACTGCACTTTCAAGGTTTTTATTTTTTTTTAGCAGCCCAGAGAGCTTTGGTGATTGGGTGGGATGGAAGCATAATGAATGAAATGAGATCCTTGGCTTCTCTAGTTGGAATGATCAGGAGGCGGGTGATGGGAAGAGCTGCTGCCAGCAAAGTAAGTGATTCTCAGCTCGAGGTGGACATATGGTAGCTTTTTATGACCAGGTGTACACAAATGCCATGGTTCACCATAGCTTACATAAGCTGAGGAAAGCCCCAGCGTCTTTGAGTGACTTTCAGAAAATTGCAGCCATAACTGCAGCCTGTTGTGCTATCTGAACCTATCGGGCATGTTGAGCAATGCTTCACCAACCCTTGCTTAACCCCAAAGCAGGCCCTTGATGACCCACAGTGCCCTGTTTGATCACGTGAATAGGCCCAGTGTCACTAAGACGAAGATGCAGGGTGTAAACTGGAGTGCTAAATCACGGCTGTTGTTTTAAGGTGTGAAATCACGCATAACCTAGGGGAAATGTATGAAAAGTAGTGGATGGAACTTGCAGATCAGGCATGCTTCGGCAAAAATACTGCTTGCCCTTGTAAGCAGTCCTTTTGTTTTTCCTTACTTGAGCAAACAAACCTTAACCAAGATCAAGCCATGCTTAGACGAGCCAAGCCTGGACAAGATGAAAAAATAGTCTCATGCAACACAAGGCAGCTCCCCGTGGCCCAGTCCAAGAGGAACTGCAGCCACTTACGTGGGGCATCAGAATTCAGAAGGGTCAGGTGATTCTGAAAATATTTAAAGGGTGCTGATCGATAGGCAAGTGCCATAGCAATACAGGAAGAAAACAAATACATAGGTTGTGCTTTATTCTCCACCTATGTTTTTCAAGGACAAATGTAGTAAAAACAATCCTCCAACATGGTTTGTTAGGAATAAATATAAGAACGCATTCCCACTGAAATAGAAGAGAGATCAAAATGTGTTGGGAATAAGGATTTCAGTGTGTTTGATGCATTTCTTACAGCTGCTTTTGACACCCTCCCATTGCTATGGCCCTCTCCCTGCTTGAAGTTTTGGGGCAACAGAGTCTGGGCCTGGTCTCCTGATTTCATGCACATGTGCCAAAATTTTCCCAAGGGCAGGAACTTCCTCTTCATTTTTTCACCCGTAGAGCAGAGGAAGGGGCTTGACATGATGAAAACATGAGACGCAGCCTTGAGGCAGACCCACGATCATGTGGTTTAAAAGGCTGGGCTCAGGAAAGACCTGAGTTCAAATCAGGACTCAGCGGTGGATTCAGAAACAGGCTAGTGAAAATTTGGAACCCTGTGCCATTTTCTTGGGGAAATCAATGTAATCAATTATTCCATATCACAGGCTGTCATCCCACTCCCCTGGGCTCTTTCTTACCTGTTATCCTATTTACACACTTTGGTTTGTTTTTCCAGTACACGCCAAGAAAAAACACTGGCACTCCAGTTAGTATGATAATCAGTCCAATTCCACAGACCACTGGCTCAGAATATAAACTGAAGACCAAGAGAAAGGCCCAAAATATCAGGTAAGTGATTGGAACCAGGAGATTTACCTAAGAAGAAAGAAAGTAATTGGAAGTGTACAGAAGCCTGTTATTCCTGGCCTCATTCCCTTCATGGCATCTTGTCAAAGGAGTGTTGACATTCACTAAACCGGATCATGATTAGCATCTGGTCAAGCCAATTGCAACAAAAAGGGAATCTCCTTTCTAACGCTGCTCAGGTGCAATCAACCCTATGCAGGTCAGCGAGATCTTTCAGCCTTGGGTTCACACGCATCCATTTTGCCTCTCTGCTCCCTCTGCTCTGCGTTTCCACAGATGGCCATTTTTGGCCGTCCAGTGACAACATTATGGAGTGGGAGGAAAGGAGGCTGGAGGGGCTTCATGAAGGGCCATATCCCATCCTCCTCACCTCTGATAACACCTCCGTCTACTCGTCTCCGAGGCTGTTGCTTTCCTAACCTCAGACAGCAGCAGCCACTGCTCGCCATGCCTGCTGCAAGGGGTGGGTGGAGCCCCAGTTCCCGTGTCCGAGGTTGGAATGCTCTCTCTGACCTCAAAGCCGGAAGCCAAACTTTCCCGTGGCTCCTCAGACAAGGTCTAGGAGCCATTGGAGGGTGCTCCCAGTGCCCCACGGAGCAGACAAACAGCAGCAACCTCAACCAAAGCAAACATCCAAGGGGTGGTGGTGTTAACAAGAGAGAAACCAACCGTGGCAGCCTGTGGAAACAGTTGGGCCCAAGCAGGTGGACTCCGGATGTGCTGAACTCCCCACTCACATCACTCTCATCACATGCTGGCTGGAAAGGATGGGAATTGCAATCCAAACAAATCCGGAGGCCGGAAGGTTGGAGAAGGCCAGATTTTGGTGTTGGACTATAATTCAGGTGGACTGGGTTCCAGCCGCCACCCAGATTAGATCACAAGCAGATGGTGAACTAGTCAATTTCACTTGTGAAGGAATCATTAAAACATTCAACGGAGTTGCATTAAAAGCAGGACTTATGGGTGGTACCTTAATAAGTATTCATCCTTTCACTTAAAAAAGAACTTAAAATTTAATTAAACCAACTGGTCAGGTATACAGGCAGAATGACTGGAGAAAAGGGTTTCTATTCTGGGCTTTACCTGACAACTTTTTTTTAAAAAAAGAGTCCCACCAAAAGATACATACCTATTGCAACACTGGGGTTGTGAAGCTGGGGTTCAAGTTTCCTTGTCAGAACTAAAGCAGTAAAAACTGAACAGGATCCGGTTTCAGTCCCCCCCCCCCCACCAGGTAGAGAAACCTGAAGAACCTGTTTGGAACTGGGAAGCCACAGTGTGGGAGCTGGCATACCTGTGACATGTACGTCCCCTGCTTTTCCTCCTCAGAACCCTCAAGGCACCTTACCTAATTCCTGTTCCTTTTTTTAAACTTCACAGTGACCCTGTGAGGTAGGCCAGCCTTAGAACTAGCGACTGGCTCAAAGTAACCCAGTGAATTTCATGGCTGAGTGGGGACCAGAACTTAGCTCTCCTGAGTCTCAGTCCGGCAGTCTGACCACTCAACCACCCCAGCCTTTTGCTAGCTTTTAAGGTGCCACAAGACTCTCCTCTTAGCTTAAGACAAGCCGCTGAAGCGGCCACCTCTTGCCCTGCCTCCGTCACTGCGGGACGGGAGGGATGTGCTCTGGCTGCCTGGCCTTAGTCAGAGGACTCCAGCTGCAGAACTACGATCCAGCAAGCCCCAGCATTTCTCACCTTGATGGGTCTGAAGATTTTGGGTTTCTTCCAGCGAAGCACAATCAGTCCTATGATTGTTATTCCATAGCAGAGGTAGTTAATAAAGGACACATAGTTGATTAATGTGTAGGTGTCCCCAACCAGCATGATAACAACGGTGGCCAGACACTGGGGAAAATGAAACGGCGTAAGTGGAAGCATTATTGGATTTTTTAAAAGCAGAGAAACAGAGAACCTTTGCACAGGGAAGTCCTATGGATGCTGGACAGTGTAGGCAGCCGTAGGATCGCTCCGATTCCTCATTAGGGGCTGGGGAATCACTCTACCCTTGCAGAAGGTGATCCGTGCCGGAGAGCCATGTCCGTCCAGCTCCCTCTCTCAAAGCCAGTGTGGAAAGAACTGCGCAGCTGCTTCTCCGGGGTACAAGAGCAACCTTGGCCAGAGGCTTCTGGGGCCTCTTTTGTGGAAGGGCGGGGGAGAGGCCGGCACCACCAAGATTCAAGGTCTCCTCGTGGTGCTTCTCTCTTCTCCCTGCCCCTGCTCGTCGGTGCTTCACTTGGCTGAAATCGGCTCCTGGGCACCTTGCGGAGCAAGAGTGGTGAGGAGGCAGCTCGGGCCTTTCCGCTTCTCCCACCCTCCATGAGATGCCCGTACACCCCTGAGTGCAGAGGATCCAGAGGACTGCATCCTTACTGAATATTCTGTTGTAATCATGGCATCTTCTTACATGGGCCGTGATATGTCAGTCAGCCCCCAGTTCCTTTGGTGCCATCTCTACAGTTCTACACTGGTGAGCTTATTTTTATATGAGCACCACCATCCTTCAGAAACCACCATGACCGGGTCTTGCTGGGACTGGTGAGATGCTTTCTGTCTCAACATGCATTGGATCAGTCCTTAATCTGTCCTTATGCAGCCGCGATGAGAAATGGTCATAGGCAGGGCCTGCCCTACCATTTGGCAGAGTGAAGCAGCTGCCTCAGGTGGCAGGGGCTGGGAGGCGGCAGCAAATGTTGGAGATGCAAACCGTGGGTCACGCGGTCTGCCCTGTGCCCCCTCAGCTGGACTGCCACCTCCACGTGTGCAGGGAAGGCTGTTGTGTTACCCATGTCAGAGGATGTCTCAACTGCCAGTCCAGCCCGCTTTTCTATGGGGAATGGGACAGCGTGTCACCTTGCCCTTTGCCTCAGGCAGCAAAGGTCTTGGCTGCACACAGGGCCTTCTCAGTGGCGGCTGGGCCTTAGCTATGGAACTGCCCCCCTTTCCTCAGTGGAGCTGAACCTCTTTCAGCCCAAGGGCCAAATTCCATTTTAGATGTGTTCTTGGAGGCCACATTCCAGTGGTGAGTGGCTTCAAGCGCTTTTTGCTAGCAACTAAGCTTAGCGGAAGCTTTTCAGCCTTCTAGAATAGGGGCAAAACTGTACACATGTGGGGAAAACACCAAAGAAATGGTGGTTGAGGGAAGGGTGAGGGGCCAGGAGAAAGGAGCATGGCCAGCTGAGGAACTTCTCCTGGGATCCAAGAAAGGCAGCTTTGACTAACTGGCCCGAGGTGCTGCATCCCTGCTTTTCCGGGTCCTAAATGATGGGCACCTCCTGCATGAACCTGCCTGGGTCAAAGCAAGGACTTCTGAGGCACTTTGTCAAGTCCCCAGCCATGGAAGTGGACGACCACAAACGAGAGGAGAAGGCCTTCCAGCCGTGGTGCTCCGTCTTTGGATTCTCCCCACAGGGAAGCGCTCCTGCCACCAGGTCTGCTTTCCCTTTGGCTAGAAGGAAACATGCGTTCACCTCCCTCGGCCTTTTAGGTTTAGGCCATTCCGACTGAGACGGCCTTCGGCCTCCACACTGGGGGGCAGGTGGTCGTGTAATGCTGAGCGGGAGCAGCAGCAGAGGTGAGTGACTGCTCTTGGCTCCTCCTGCTCTGCTTTCGTGCTGGACAGATAATTTGGGCCATCCAGCTGGGGCACTTTGGAGGAGGAACCAAAGAGGCTGCAGGGGACACAGAAGGCCTCCTCCTGTGGTCTCCACAGTCCCCTCCCCTCCCCTGGAATGGGAGGCTGACATGCTGCATAATGAAGCACCAGTCTCCATCCAGAGCCATCTTTATTTCCCAGAATGCCTCTAGGACCCATCTTGTATTTCAGGCCACGTTCCTTGTCTCTGAGCCTCATCTGCCTGCATTCTATAAAAGAAGACTGGGAGCTCAAAAGCATGGTTTAGCGGGTGGAACTCAGATCCTACCAAACCGTGTCATCAGTCCCCTGGGCAAGTTACCTTGTCTATTAGCCTTCAGGATATAGGTCTTTCCTGAATGGTCATGCCTTCCATGGCAGCCACTTGGTGGACTGGCAAGCCACTCATGGCACTCGCAGTGCAAGGGGGCCCATGTTCCCCTTAAAATGCCCATGATGGCCACTGACTCAAAAAGTTCCCAGTCACACAGAACTACCCTTAGAGGGCCAGCATAAAACAGATCCCCTTGTTACTCTCTGTCCCTCTTGTACAATATCGCCACTGTGGGCTTCGACATGCATACTGGGGAACCGTGAAGCTAATGCTAGAGAAATATTGATACGTACACAGACAAGGAGGGCTGGAATTGGGGTGCAGTGCTTGACGTGAATCATAGACAGCAAACTGGGTAAATGGCCTTCGCGGGCACCAGAGAAACACAACCTGAAAAAAAACAAAGAAAGACATCCAGTGGGGCATGGACCACATGGCCTATTTCAACCCATAGTACTATCACTTTTCCATACCCTTCAGGCTACTGAAAGATGCTGAAGTTTTGACAAGTGCAGAACAATACAAAAGAGACCTCCTTGGCTATTTAACAGTGCTACCTAAGAAGAAAAACAGGTGATAAGAAAGGAATATTTCACGCTTTCATGTTCTGCTTTTGGGAGATGATTGTATGACAGATCAGTCATACCCTTCTATAGTGCCCTCGGATCTGCAAGTGGAAAGGGCGGTTTTCCATTTTTCTGTGTTCATAACAACTCTGCTGTCTGTCTGTCTAATACTCCACACCTGGGAAGGCCCTCCTGCTAGATGACACCAACTTTATCATACAGCTTAAGAGCAACCTTCCCTTTTGGGCACTAGACCACTATTTCATATGCAAAGAGGAGAGTTGGCATACAGATGCCAGCCTTGGCTGGAGGGAGTTTCAGGAGACAATCACTGAATGGTCACATTTCCTGCCTCCCCCTCCCCATCGATCATTAGATTGTTTTTCACCCCATCTTTCCTCCAAGGAGCTCCAAAGGCACACAAAGACTCCCCACTGTATCTTCATAACAACCCTGTGAGGTAGGCTAGACCAAGAGAGAGTGACTTGTGCAAAACTAGCTAGAGAGCTTCATGGCTGGCAGAGGGCCTGGACAGAGGTCTCCCCATTTGAAATCCATGGCCATTCCATTGCGCCAAGTGACTTCGATAAAAACCTATGAAGGGTTATGCAGGATTGGACCCTGGAAGCATCCAGCCCAACTTTGTGCTCCCCCAGTGAGTAGCCAAATACTCATGAGAAGCCCGCCAGCAGCACTTCTCCTCCCAAGCTCCCCAGCCATGGGCATTCGTGGACAGGCTGCCTCTGGTACTGGAGATGCCAAACAGCCCTGAGGACTAGCAGCCGTTGAGAGCCTCCAAGAATTTGTCCAACCCGTTATTTCCATCTAAGGAGCCGTCTTCTTCCATCAGCAGGTTCCACAGTCTGTGGGATGCTTCCCCTACAGGGCTCACCCCTGCTGGTTTAGATCCCAAACCGGGGAAGGGAAACCTTGAGGCATCTTTTCACCTTGATTCCCCCAAGAGCTGCGCTCCTGAGCGGAATTTGCCCCTTCTATGACTCCACAGTGGTTTGCCACTGAATTTGGCCATCAAACTGCTGACTTGGGGTAGGGGCTGAACAAACGGATTGAAGGGGAGGCTGTGTCTGGGGCTGTGTGTTTTCTACCCTGACCTAATCAGTCAAATAAGCTGGAAAAAGCTGGAGGCCAGTTTCTCAGCCTAACCTTTCTCACAGAGTTAATTGTGGGTGAGCCACCTGAAGCTCCACGGAGGAAGTAACCCTTATCAGCAGGACTAACCATTATTGATTCAAAGAAATGATTTAACTCATTTCAATAAGCCTGTACATTCCTTTAACATAAAATATTTTTTTCTAATCGTTAGAAGAAATCAATACCAATGAAATGGGTGTGGTAAATTATGTTCTCCATAAAGCAGAGCAAGACTTTCTAGCTAAGAAAGAGAACAAAGTCTTCCCTTTGTCCTTCTTGAAAGAGGAAAGCAATGAGGAGGGAGGGGGAATCGTACTTGGTCTAACCTGGATGAGGTAAAAAGGTATCCATTTATTCCTCCAAATGTAGACAGAGCCACAGAGACAGGCATAACCCAGGAAAAATAGCCCAGTAACTTTTCACCAAATGTCTAAAGCAACAAAAGGCAAAGAAACTGAAACATAAACTGCAAGGCAGAGAAAACGGGAATAAATAATAACAACCACAACAAGGATAATAAATGTCCAGGGAATGCTTTACTTACTACTGCAACAGCATTGGAAGACAAGAGCTCTTGGGGGGACATGGCAGTGAAGTATGCAATATTAGTGAACGTGTACACAAAGGTCACCAATGGGATGGAGATGAATATGGCACGAGGTAGATTCCTAGTAAAAATAAAATAAAGAGGAGGGAATGGTAAGCGTCGGCGTGCACGTGCGGCAAAGCCTTGGAGGGATGTGGGAAGCCACCTTAAGCCACTCAGGCCACGGGGCCACGTGGCCCGGGAGTCTCAACACGGCTGGCCACGAGGGCTCTCCAGGGCTTCCGCAAAAGCTGTTCCGGCTGCACCTGAAGATGCGTCGGCTGGCAAGGCAGGTGTGTTGCCTGCAAGCCATGGCCCTTCTCCATTGGACTAAGCTGCCTTAGGCAGCCATCAACGCTTTGGTCTGCCTAGAGCAAGACAGACTAATTAAATGAATCAATTAATTACATTTCTATCCAGCTTTTTTCCAGCAAGGAAACTGGGGCGGCTTGCACCATCCTCTGTCTCTTCTCCATTTATCCTTCCAACAACCTTGTCAGGTAGGTCAGGTCAAGAGTCAGTGTCTTGGCTCTACAACACATTTCCCCCCCTGAGATTTGTATTTTTCTGCCTTTTGGTATATCGTGTTAATGAATCATCTAGTGGCGCTGTGATATAACTGCAGGATAGTGAATGTGTGATGTCTCGCTGGTGTTTGCTGTGGTTTGGAATGTAATACCAGAGTGTCTTCGTGCTAAATGCTCCTGTGAAAATGGCTGGCGAGCACAAGACGGGTTTGTCGTGAAAAGGTCCAGCAAAGTCTCCTGCGTGAGGGAAGACGAGCGCGGAGTGCGCCAGATCAGAGCTGGGTCTCTCGAGTTCCAGGCCAGCCCCAAGCCCTGGCTGGCAGGGGGCGCCACTTCACCGGAGGGGCTTGTGACTGGGCCTTGGACCTTCCTCATGGCTGACCCAGGCATGCGGGGAGTTGTGGGACCCCTTCTGGTCTAAATGTGCACACACAAATTAAACGAATCAGTGTTTTGGTGAGCTGCTGGGAAGCAGGTTGGAGGGCTCTAGGGTCTCTTCTCATGTTCCATTCTGCACATCTTTCTTTTTGCTCATTTTACATCTGTTTAGGGACATATGCAAAATACAGTCACACCTGCAGACAGAAGGCATGCTCTTGTCCTTCCCTCATATGTATATCTCTATCCATTTTTACAATCTGTATAGAACCAAAGGAATCGAATATCAGGTTTTTCCTCTTTCTTTCTTTCTTTCTTTCTTTCTTTCTTTCTTTCTTTCTTTCTTAGGACTTATAAGTATTTAATGGACACAGGCAAAAAAGAGCTTTATAAAAGGGAGGGGGAAATGGACTCTTTTAAAAGACACAACAAAAAACAAGAATGGAGTAATCTGCAAATTAAATATATAAATGCAGAGTAGATGAATACAACATATTCTCATGCCCAGTAAACTGAAAAAAAATGCTAGCTGGTATAAAAACACACACACTCATAATGCCAGGAACAGGGGGAGATGTAGAAAACTCTACAGCATGAACCTGGCATTAATACCACGAGAAAAAGGGATCTGGCTCTGGAATCCGTCTAGAGATGGACCACAATACAAATGCTGTGAAGCACACACACAGCCCTCTTCAAAGGCCTGAAAAACAGGAGCATTTCTAGTCTAGTCCTATCAATTGATCAGGCTCGGTATAGAAAAGTGCTGAGTTCTTGCTTAGAAGTTAGGGTGCTGTCAGGTGACTTTGGTACTAGGTCAGCCTTGCCCCATCACCCTCTCCCAGTTCAGTTCTTTCCACAAACCCATTTCTCAACACAGCATATCAGAAGCATGTAGGAAGCAACCCACTTTGAGCCAAGGGGGGCAAAACTGGGGACAAATACTTGCCTGCGAGGATCAACTAATTCTTCTGTTACATAATTTAGGAAATTCCACCCACTGAATGCAAAGGAACCTTGGAGGAAGGCTAAGGCCAGATGCCCCACGGACGGCGTCATCCAGAAGTTGAAGGCATTGCTTGGTAGCAGTTCGTCATAGTTTCCTAAAAGCAGAGCATAAATTGATTCAGCTGAGTGTCCATGCGTGGCGCCGATGGAGGAGCACAGCGAACAACAGAGACACGAGGGAATTGCCCCAAGGAAAGGCAGGGATCTTGTAAATTGTTTAATTTCTATACCGCTCAGCAACTGAAGCTCTCTGGGCAGTTTTGGCTCCCCAGACAGGGAGCCTCTGGAGAGGGCTGGTTCCTCTCACAGAACTGCAGGTCCCAACTTTGCTTAGGGAGAGGGAATGGTTGCTAAGTTCTGCTCTAAGCAGGCTGCCAGTGTTTTATCTCGTGCAGTGTTCTGCTGCGAAAAGGACCGAGGGGTTAGAGCAGCTCCCCCAGGTGGGAAGGCTGCAACAGCTGGGGCAGTTCAGCTCAGAAAAAGGGCCAGGAGGGGGAGATATGGTGGATGTACTTCACATGGTGTGGAGAAAGTGGTGCGGGACACTTGTTTCTTCCCGCAATAGTAGAACCCAGAGTCATCCCATGAAGTGGATTGGTAGGAGATTTAGGACAGGAAAAGGGAAGGACTTCACATACCACATAGTTGAACTACGGAACTCTCCATGTCATTCTGCAAGGTGAAATGATGGCACCAGTTCTGATGGATTTAAAAGGGGATTGGACAAATTCAAGGGGGATAAGGCTACCAAAAGCTATTAGTCCTGATAGCTATATGCTACCTCCAGGGTATACCAGTTGCTGGGTTACAGGGGTAGGAAGGTGCTACCCCTTGTGGATTTCCTCCTGCAGCTGGTCGGCTCACTAGTTGGACAGGCATGGCTTTTCCTAAGTTATTAGCCGCTGGACCTCCAGATGTTATTGGACTGCAACTTCCATTAGCCCTAGCCAGCATAGCCAATGGTGAGGGATCATGGGAGCTGAAATCCAACATCTGGAAGGTTGAATGTTCTCCATCCTGACCTACTGGATTGAAGCATATTAGAAATGTGTTCAAATCAGAAAACAGTATGTTGGGTGAGCTGTATTTGCTAAAATTGATACAATTCCACCTGGAATTTAGGGGTTTTGGACAAATACCTTTGAAGATCTGTATGAAACCCACAATAATAATCAGGCCCAAGGCCAAGAGCTTTCCTCCTGTGAATATATCCTGGATGCGTGTGGCCCATCGGACGCTAGAGCTGTTCACCCAGGTCAATAGTGCTGAAGAGCAGAAAACACAGTTCAGTACAAAAACTCCGCTTATGCCATAGGTAATAGTTAAAATCAAAACTTTAGTGGTTTTCTTGTACACAACTTCGGGAACCTTTCTAATTCAGTCTCGGACTTTTGGAAATGCAGAAAACACTCAAGTAGATCAAGTGGCCCGCACCTCCAGCACCTATTTTGTTAGCTTAAGATTTTTATTTTATTTTGGTAGAGAAGGAAAGAGATGAAAGGTAAAGGCTGGAAAAAGAGGAGGTGGAGAAACCAATCAGGGCTCAATTGTATGCATGTGTAGACAGAAAAACTCCCACAACTCCCATTGCCCTGGCCTGGTGCTACTGGGAATCTCAGCACCTGTTTCCTCACTAAACAAGCATAGGATTTGTTTTGCTCCCAATCTGCTAGAGGTTCCAAGCAGAGTGCAAAGCATGAAACTAAACCAGGGCTTAGGGTTGTGCCTGAATGTAGCAACTGTCTCCATCATAAACCTTCAAACCGTAGTTTGGCAAACCAGAGAGGGAAGAACAAGAAAACACAGTGCATCTTTAAAAAAAGAATAGGTGGCTTGCAGGTTTGGGGACAAAGGGGGTTCTGAGAATGGAAAGACTAAACACCATCAGTTTACTACGAAGACCTAGCACTTCATGTTTCCAACTGCTGTCTTAACATTAGCAATTTAGACCGGTTCATCGGTCTTGACTGCAGTGCTTTTCTGTGAGAGTCCTCAGCAGAAGGAGATGGCATCCTCTGCTCAGAAAGTACTGCAGCCTTGGCTGGCCCTGGGACATGGTGGCCACCTGGTCTCAGAGAAGGTCACCTCCCTGCCTGCCTGAGCTCCCCCAGAAGTACATCCATCTGATTGCTGCAACTACAGCAGCAGCGTTCAGTATCCCTGCTTGGCTCCTTTTTTAATACGTCCCCAGGATGCCGCCCCCACGGGGACCAGGTGCAGCGGGGAGGGGCAACAAGCGAGTGCGAGCAGAGGGCAAGCCCAGGGTGGCCCTGCGGCAAGTGGCCAATATGTGGGGGGTGACATTTTTCTTGGCTCATCTCAGACGTCAGCACGGCTTGAGCTAGCACTGGGTGCAGCCCCAGTGTTTGTTTGTTGGTGGAGAAGGTCATGCATAAATACTCACACAAACACACCATGGAGAGGACTCTGGAGGCATTGTAGGGGGGGATGCAGTTTGGAAACACTGGCTGGAGAACATAATTTGAAAAGGTCAGTGCAATGACAGCCAGGCTGGTGGGGTACATGATCAGCACTGCGCTCCATAGCAGCAAAAACCTGCAACCAAGAGAAACGAACAAAAGGGGATGATGAAACTCGGCAGCTCCGGACATCACTTGACCAAGACTGCCTTTGCAGAGGGACAGCTTTTCCACCAGGAAAACCAGTGAAAAAATCTGAGCACTACTCTCCCTCTTAAGGTTGTTTCATGTGTTTCTTCGAGCCTGACCGCATGCAGGAAGTCTCCATCGCACACAAGCGGCAGAAGCCAGGGAGAACACTTAGATTTCCCCCACAAAGAGGCTTGAACCCAGATGTAATCATGCTTAGAGCTGACCCAGTGAAGCAGACTGGACATATGCGTGACTCATTCAAATCCCATTGATTTCTGTAGGACTCCTCTTAAGTATGGTGAAGTTTGGAGGCCATCTAGAGTGGGATAGTATTGCTCTGGTGGACAATGTCATTGACCAATGCTGGTGTGACAGATGGGACTGGCACAGAGTTGCCATTTGGGAAATCATTCCTATCACTTTTCTCACATCCCGCCTCTCAGGAGCTCAAGTTAGTATCATTGGTAGAGTGCTACGCACATGCGAAGCACTTCACAATTCACAATACACTGTAGAATGACTGTATGGGTCGACAGAAGGGAAGCAGTGACGTAGGAAGCGTGGCTTCAGGCCCCTGGGTCATCCAGCCAGGACACTGACATGCCCTCCACACTGTGGGGTTCTTTTCCGCCTGCCCTGGGGATGCTGAGATGGAACGTGGGCTCTTCTGCACACAAAGCAAGGGCTCAGCTATTGAACAAAGGAAGTAACAAACAGCCCAGGAAGTAGCAAAGAGCCCTTTCCATTGTGTGTGCTTAGGCTTTGCTGTAGCCCAGGTTAAACGATGGGGGATAGGGACCAGGGGTGTGCGCCGGGACCTCGGTGGGAAAAGCAGTTCTGAGGAAGGATCTGAAGGGAGCAAGTCTGTTGGTGATGGGGCGGGGGGTAAACACAGTTCATTCCTGTCATGTCATCCTAGCAGCAGCCCTTTGAGGTGGGCTTGGATAACGCCAAGCAAGTGTCCCAAAACCTCTAAAAAATATTGCTTTGCAAACAAAATGGTGCTTTGTAACTGCTTTGGATGCCATTTAACCCCCTCTCTGGTTTTGGCAAATGGCCCCCAAGGGGGTGTGGCCTATGATGCAAAATCAGCCCTGAGACTTCCCAGAGTTGTTGATCTCTGGACTAACCAAAGTAATCTAATTACATTTTATGGTGGTTTAGTGAGGATTCGAACTCAGTTCACCCCAGTTCTATTCCGCATTTTGACCACTGCTGGCTTTTTTTACATGAGGATGCTAGTGCCTGTTAAGTGCAGACCTGCAATCCAAGCACTACACACAAAGCATTTCCTTTCCTGCTTTTCTGTGAAATAACCTCTAGGTGGCACTGTGGTATAGCAGAACAACACAAAGACACAAGTGGAAAAAGCATTTCCTCTGACATCTACAACTGAAAGCTGCACTTTCCCTGCTTTAAAAAGTTCACTGAAAGTTCTCTTTAGCACAGAACCAAAACTAGAAGGTCATGAGATCATCTAAAGAACATGTAATCAACCACAAGAAGGAAATAAACATTTGATAAATGCCTTGTGTAAAACCCCCCTAACTTGCACTTTAATTTTTATGCTATATCTACAGAATATCCCAGAATATTAAATATAAATAATCTAAGCTGTAGACTTTGCCATTCAGAAAATGGCTGTGTTCACATGATGTGGCAACCCATCATGGCTGACTGATAAGCCATGGTGGGTTGCTGGGTTGTGCTACCCTGGACTAATTCCTCCGGTGTGGCTTGTTTGAGCAGAAGAAGCCATGCACACAACCCATGGATTGCTGTTGGGATTGTTGTACCTGTCATGGGTTGTGCTGTTGTCCAAACTGGGGTGAACCACCCCACTGCAGGTGCTGGGAAATGATTTGCTTGTCCCCTGGTAAGAGCAGCAAAGCCCCTTGCCAGGGTTGCCAGTGTGAGCCAGGTCATGAGTGCTCAAGCACCCACTTCGCGGGGTTCGGCATGTTTTCCCCTGCACAGAGACAGGTGAATACACATTTCACGTCCTCATGAGAAAACCAGGGGCATGCAGCCAGACAGTTCGTGCTTTTCCATGCTGCTGAGCTCCCAGAGACTCAGGAACAAGCAGAAGCGTGAGGACACCTCATTGCTGCATCCATCTTCAATTTTTATTTTTTATTTTTTGACCGAGGGATGTTGAGGAAAGGAGGAAAGAAACCCGACTGCAGTTGTACAGCACTGCACAGTGGCACCTAGAGTTCATGTGTAGGAATATTTAGAAAGGCGGAGAAAGGAGAACGCATGTAGAGAAGCTGATCTTAAGTCTGCTAAGAATATAGAAGCAGAAGCCTCAACATCAGCAGGTTAAAATCCTCATGCAGAAAAAAGCTCTGTTACTGTAGTTGTGCTCCAATGCATTTGCTGGGCACCAGTTTGAGGATGATTTGGGTTCTGCTGCTTTGTTTGGAGAAACTTTCTGTTCCATGGAAGAAAACACAGAAAGGTCTAACTATAATTAAAAATCATTAGACAGACCCTTTCAGGTTGCAAAAACAGGTAGAGATTGCAAGGTTTGTGTGCGTGCGTGTGCATACATGTGTGTATCAACACCCCAGGAGTTCTTCAAGATTTAATATTCTTGAAGGGATTTGAAACCTAAGGAAAAAATTAGCTGCTCTCAGCTCAAAGCTGCTTATTATGAAACTTCCCTCCACCCCACCCTGGTTACTAATCTTCCTTCACGTACATTTTAGGTATGGTTAGGCTGGGCTTTGATGGCCGTTATAACTAGATGGCTTCATGAAAGAGCTGTTAAATATGCAGGATAATTAAGTTCTGGTTAGAACAAGATTCCTCAGGTCATTTTATGAACTAAAGATTACATGAAAGAGATTCTTGAAATGAAAAGATTTCTGTTTTAACACGTTGTTACTTTAGTTGATGCCCTCATGAGTGAATAACTGACTGCTTCTTCTTTAAAATTTGGGAGAAGCTTGCAATGTCGGTATTCATACATCAAGTCCCACACGCCACCTCCTCTCTGGTTTCTCATCCTCTGGATAAAGACATGCCAAAGAACAGAACTCTCTAGCAATCATGTTACGAAGAGTTCAGACTGAGTCTTTGAAGCATGTGACCTGGTTGGTCGTGGCAACATAAACACGTGAGAAGAGCGCTGCTGGATCAGACCAGGGATTTATCCAGCCCAGCTTTCTATCATTCACAGTAGTCTAAGTGCAGTTACTTCATACATTTGTATAAGGGCAGAAGGTCCGGTAGTTTTCTTAAAAATTTCTTTCCTAATCACAAAATTCTAAGAAGTGCAGATACCCAAGGATTAAGTATGACCTGGCTTGCCGTACTGCTTTGGGGAATGAGTCTCAGGGTAAACCCTTTTCGAGATGCAAAGCAAACAAAATTCTCTCTAGCTGTACTTCTCAGCAGACATGTATGTAGGATTGCACTGTTACTGTTCATGCATGTGCAGTGATATTTTATGTGTGCTTACCGAGAAGGTGTGTCTGTTCTGAATAGGAAGAGATGGATATCTGTCTAAAGACTTGGGGAAGGGCCATGTCAAAACCTGAAGAATCACAAATTGAAACAACTCAGCTAACAACATGTTAGCAATGCTTCCCCAAAAGGCAAAAAGGGGAGAATGATCTATTATGGGTGCCTAGCCCAAGGGCAAACGGTGCCTCTCCTGTGTTGCATTCAGCTATTTAAGAAACCAGGGTCTGTCTTCAGGTTCAGTAAATGTGGCTCTGTAAAGAAGAAGCAAGGCTAAACATGTTCCTAGGTGAATTATTGCTGGTTTGTGGGTGGTACGAAAGCCTCCTTAGGCCTAAACTTTTTTGAACAACATGGGAAGCTTTCTATTTTTTATGCATTTGTTTACAACTCTTGAGCTGGCCTCTTTCTTTGATGCACTACATATTGACTTTTTGGAGCTGCTTGGCTCTGAAAGTTATCAAGTGCTGCAGGTATAAAAAGCCCCTTTCCTTTAATTGACGTTGCCCTAATTAATCTCGCGTCATGCTCGTGATCTTGCCAAAAGATCTACCCAGCCTGCCTTAATGTGCCCTAAAGGGACAGGTTGGAACCTGCTACTTAACTTACTAGAAGAGATATGAAAACAACCCTATCTGTATGCAAAGGTTTCTCACTCAGTTACACAACACTGCATAAGCAATCTCAACAGTTCCTTCAGATATAAATCAAATTAATATGCTTTCCTTTAAAAACAAAATGTTGAGTTTGGAAGTTTCTGGCATCAAGAGCAATTGTTCAACCCCACCTCCCTTTGACAAGGAATAGGAATTGAGCAAACGAGGGATTTTTCTACCTGAGGAAGCTATTGTGTATTTGTGTCCTTGCTCACAGTTGCTTACAGGCACTTTAGAGCATGTTAAAATCTTCCAGTTTTGCTTCTGTTTTTTATCAAGTACTCACTCCCACTCCTTTTTTTAAGAAAAGAGGAAAAGAGCTATTAAATTGCAGCAGGGGAAAATGACACTTTCTCCTGGTACATTTGTGCTTTTCTGCTATAGCACAGCTCCACCTAGAGGTTGTGTAGCAGAAACGCAGGAAAAAGATTTCTTTGAGTTGAGCTCTGATCTCAATACTGTGGCAAAACTGAAGGTACATGCAGCAATAAACAGCACAATAAATAACTAGTGTAGAAAAGCCTTCCATGCTGTGTAGCCACAAAGTCTTGTATCTGAAATTATAGTTTGCTGGTGGAGCAGACACATGGCCCCTTGTTCAATCCCCTGGCATCTCCTGTTTCAGAGAAGGAAAGGGATCAGATAATTTTACTCTTCCAAGTAAGACCAAACCTGGACAGTGCTGACCTTGCAATGTGCACAGAGCAATATAGGTCTACCTTGCAGGGCTGCTGTAAGGGCTAATGAGGTACAGTGTATGTATACAGAGTTTCGACATTATTATATATTATACTGAAGCAAAACTTACCCAGCTAATCCACCAAAAATCTCGGTGACGTAGGAATAATCCCCACCTGATTTGGGAATTGTAACTCCTAATTCAGCGTAGCACAACGACCCGAGAGCTGCGATCCCGCCGCCAAGCACCCAGATTATGAGAGCGAGTCCCACCGACCCAGAGTGCTCTAGGACTCCTTTGGGCGAAATAAAGATGCCGGAGCCAATTATATTACCTGGAAGGAACACAAGTTGGAGGAGAAGCTAAATTAACATGCAAGCTAAATTAACACATGTTATGGTTTTTATTATGTTTTTATTGTGTTTTTATCTTGTGCTGTGAGCCGCCCAGTGGTGCTGTGGCACAATCGGGCAGCATACAAAAGTTTAAATAATAAATACATAATAAATGTTCTCCATCTGGGTCTACCAATTCATACTGTTCCGCATGAACATACCGTTGTATGCTGTGATTCTGACTTAAAGATTTCTGACATGAGGGATAGGAAAGTGCATGTGTGCGTGGATTTTTTGCATTTAGCAAGGGCACACTAACACCAGAGCAAGTCTGTACTCAAAGGTTTGTATTTGTGTAATTTTGGAAGTTAATCTTTCTTGTACTTGGGCCTCTGTTGTAAGCTGCCTAGAGAATCCTTATGGACTAGTGGGCAGCATATAAATTTAAAAATAAAATAAAATAAAATAAAGCCCCTTTCCACTTCTCAGAATAACTTTTGCTAAGTTGGAGTCATACTGCTGCTGTTCTTACTACTAGTAGTAGTACTAATAATTTGGGTAATTCCTTATAGTCATGTTCACCTGCACAATATCCACACAAGGGAGGTGCCTCCATTCACATTGACATGTGTACACATTTCAAAAGCCATTTTAGCGTAATAGCATATCTAGGCCAACCAAAACATGACGAACTCCAGATCTTGTCACTGGGCTCCATTCCTGGCAAGTGCCATGTGAATGTGGACTGGACTGTGTCAAGGACTGGAGTCCAGGGAGTCAAGCCCAGGGAATCTGGGGGATTCCCACCCCCAAAATAGATCCCTTAGACCTCTCTAATTACAATAATAGGAGTTTAGGGTTTTTTCCCCTTATTGTCAACATGGTGGCTACCTTTAAAAATGCAGATAAATAGTCTTACTGTTCCACCCTCCAATATGCCACCGATGAAAGGAGAGACATACCTGTGACACCTGGTTTTTATGCCAGGTATGTTCTCTAGCACCGGGCGTGAGGCAAGGAGGGTAAAGGGCCGGTGGCTGCGGAACTGGGAATGAATTTAGTGTTCAAGTGTTCGGTTCAGTGCTCAGGAAAAGCAGTGGTGCCCTCTTAGGAAGGGGGAAGGGGAAATGCATCAGCAAAATGGAGAGGGAAAGACTGCATGGATTTGCCTATGCTAATTTGTACATATAGAGGCAAACTGGGAAATAATTATTATAATCTAAATAGAAAAAGAAGGCATCTCTCCAGAGCGTGGAAGACTAGACTGCCACCAGGTGACTTGTCCACCTGGCAGTTCTTTCTGCTGTCCAGGGGCTGCCAGTGGTTGTTGGTGAAGGCATTTTGAAGGAAGGTTCTTTTGGAAGGCATTTTGTCTTTAAGCTGGATTTCTGTCACGCTGCTCTTCCAAGGGAGGACCCTTCAAGACACAAGACAGTTGACCGCCAGCCATCCAGAGGCCTGTTAGAAGGACACCCTGTGACACTTTCGGTGCTGCTTCCTGCAGCCCTTGTGGGAGCTCAACCCTGGGGAATGTCCAGCCTCTTGTAGGAAGAGGAGTGTTGTGGGAGACCCCAGTTGGGAATGGGCTTGGCTCACATTCTCTCCCTCCAGAGCGGTAGCCCGGGACTTCTTGACAGCCCGGGTTTATTACCTCTGAGAAGGCACAAAGGGAAATGCTGCAGTCTATTAATTTATGGTGACTCTTGCCTTGAATACTGGAGGCTAGGGCAGCACAGTCCTCGCTGATGCAGAAGCAAGAGGTGAAGGAAAATGGAGGCTTCTAGGAGGACAGGTCTGGCCAGGTAATGGCCACTGAAATATATGCTGGTACCTTTTAAGGGAAATTCTACAACAATTTGTTTCTGACAGTCCAGGCATGAAATAAAAGATACAGGCTGCAAGAAGGAGCCTTGACAAGAACCAGGTACGAGGTGCAGAAAGACACCGCAGGAAGAGACTTTTCTTGGATAACACAAGCTAAAATAAGGTGTTCTGAAATGATTAAGAACTTGAGTCTCGCAGCCGGATGGCTTTTTGGCATAGATTTGAGACCCGGACGGGGAGAGTCTAATTAATATTCAGAAGAACTTTCTCAAAGGAAGACAGTCACCCTGGGTGGAATGCTAAACTAGTCTGAGAAAACCTGACACTTCAGAGCCTGGAAGGAGAACAGCTCTGCGAATAGACTGGATTCTAAGCGACCAGAGGAGATGTGCCGGCAGGTTCCGCAACTTCCTTTCAGGCGTGATGGGTTACATAAGGCGACGCTCAGAGGTAGTGGGAAGATTCTGCAGGCCAAAATGGCAGTTTTTCATAAAGTGTCGTGATGCTCTATTTAAGCACCTTCTGCCACTGGTTACGTACACATTGCAGAGGTGCAGAATGTTTTAGCAGCAACAACAATGCCGGGGTGTTTGCATGGCACAACTCTGGCATCCGTGGTGCTTTGCGTAGCTCAGCCTTTAGAGTGCTAGTAGCCATGTCTGTCCACCTCAGCAAAATGGCTAAGGGCCGAAAACATCCCTGCAGCTCCCAGCCTCCCTTATTCAGCATCCCAAGTGTTTTCTGGATCTTAAAGGCACAATATATCTGTTAATATTCAAAGTGCCCTACATAGGTTACTTCGGTGACATTGACCACCCCACTGTAAAGTAGGTCAGTTACTATTGTTTCCCTGTTTTCATTCATTCATTTATTAACTTCCACTCCTTAAAAAAGCAGATCCTGCCCCATACTTGTAAGCTGGATGAGGTGAAAATAATATTAGATTGGTTAAAGCTGCCCTTGCAAATGTGGAACACATTTCTCATCCAATTTAAAAAACCTGGTTCTGTCAGTGACTGGATGATGGAATGACAGGCACCTGATGATCTGCAAAACAGAGGTTTAACAAAAGGCACAGGAGAGAAGGAGGACCTGGCTTAAAACCTCAGCAGATGAGGCTGCTGAGGTTCCTATGGGGCAAAACAAAGGAGGTTTCACTCATAGGGACTGCTGGGATTCATGGTGACAGTGAGAGGATGGTGTGGGGAGCATGGGAAGTGTATTCCCCAGGGAACCCTGCCATTGTCTGACTTGTATGTCCAGGCAAAAATCTTCCTGCTATCGAAACAGCACAAGTTGTTTGCTGTGATGTGTGAACCCAGTCAGTGCCTTTATCCTTTAACTCATCAACCTTTGTGTTGGACCCAAGTTTAGGCCTTGGGATGGAGTGTTACGATGGTCTAGAAGTAATCAAGATATGAACGAACGAACAAACGAACGAGATTGGTCTGTCCCTGATATATATATATACACACACACACACACACACACACACACACACACACACACGCCAAGAAGCTTCTTGGCTGCTTTAACTGCAGATGCCCTGCTTTTGCCTCCCGGACTCTGCTCCCATTTGCAGCAGCCCCACATCTGAGTCCCTGGTGATTGTGCCCAGGGTTCTTGCGGCACCACAGACTGAGCCCCACACACTGCGCGGGCAGGGCCATTCGGGGCCGTTGGCAGCCATAAGCGGGGAAGGGCGGCTGCAGGGAAGGGCGGCTGGAGCGGCCGCTTGCTGGGCCCCCTTTCTGTGTGTGCTGGCAGTGGTGGCGGTGCGGCGAGTGGGGAAGAAGGCTGGCCACCAGGCACAGCAGCTGCAGTGCAGCAGGGCAGCCCGAGCCAAGAGGGAGTCTGCGCGTTCCTCGCTCTGCCCCACAGTGCTTCTTGATGTGCCGAGAGCTGCAGGATCCCACAGTTCCCTGAGAGGTGTTTTAAAAACTTAGCCAAATAGTTGGTCCTTCCAGAAATTTCCAGACTCCACGGACATGTTGGGGTCATGGCATGTCCCAAACAGCTCTTCTTTTTCTGCATCTACCTTTAGGCCACTTGAGGTCAGTAAATGACCAATATAAGATACTTCTGTGACTCACTGTCTGAAATTGTTCCCATTCAGTCTGGTATCCCTTTTCCTGCATCTTTTCAGAAATGCTGCTGTTTGATGATCACTGTCCTTTGTGCTTTCTCTGCAGCATCTCCCACTAGTAGCAATCACCAGCTTTTGTCCAAATATCGTCCAGATCTTCCAAGACATCCTGTCAACATGTTGTGAAGTCTCATGGGGGCTTGACTGATTCCTGTTGACATTCTTGGTCAGTTATATTTTCCAAAGTGTATGGTCAATGTGGTCAAATAACTAGATTATTCATCCAGGTCAATACATTAGAACCCATGTTTGACAACAAAGATAGAGAATAGTCCTGCTTTTGACAGGTCTGGAAATATATCTTTGAAAGTGGGCAATGGAAAATGACTTCTCATGACTTTGTTTACAAGCTTTAAATCTATACATATTCTGAGTTTCCCTGATGGTTTACAGATCACTGCCCAAGTGCTTATTTGGTCTGTACTTTTCTCTACTGGTTGAGTAGATCTCCTCCACTGTAGATTTCATGAGTCGTCTTTCAGAGCTGAACTTAAACTACCGATACATTTTTCTTCGGTAATTCAACTGGCTTCACGGTGGAATCAGTGTCTGGTTTATAAACTCGATCTAGCTGTCCATCTCCCTGTCCATCCCTGAGTTCTCTCTGAAACATTTCTTGATTCCAGCTTTCAACTTCATCTGAATTTTTTGCCACTGTCAATACATTCTAAAAGTGTATTTTTATAAGTTTGTGCAGAAAACAGCAACTGTTCTCTGGTCATCTGCAACACAAATTCTAGCCTGCATTTCCGTTCTGGTTTCCATTAGATGTTTGAGGTTGGTTTTCATGTACTGTGAGTGTATATTAAAGGCTGACTAGTCTCTTCAAATAGAATACCAGGGTTTGCTAAGTGGCTGGAGCTAATACTGCAGTTAGCACTAGGCTGAAGTGGAAATGCTTTAGCCCCCAGAAAAATGATGGATAGAATTGTTTATATTGCCCTGTCAGCTTTTCCTGCAGTGTGTTTATCACTTAACTGGTTATGCACAAAGAGCCTTCACTGCCACTCTCCACATTTTCAGTTTGCA